ACATAACTGCAAGATAGTGCCGAGCTGCTTTCTGAAGAGTGTTATCAGTTTAAAATCCTACCTGCAGTATAAAAGGTGTCTTTCTCATGCACATCATCTTCATTGGTATTGTCTTAATTTTTCAATCTATTGAATGTAAAATGGTAGTGTTCTCAATTAGCCAATCATTTATTAGGTTAAACATCTTTTGCATGTATCCAGTCATATCTTCTCAAAATACCTGTTTTCTGTCTTTTGCTCATTTTTCTACAGAACAATGACAAATAGAAGTGGTGATAAATCGTACACTTTTTCTGATTTTTAACATATACAACCTAGTCATGATGCACTATCCTTTTTTATGTTAAATTCAGTTTATTAATCATGCTTTTGACTTCTATTTGTTAATAAGTTTTCTTCTACTGAATGGTCTGATTTTAATATCACTACGTTATATGTTTTGGCCCCATGAAATAAGCTGGAAATCATTCCTTCATCATCTATTCTTTGAAAGAGTTTGTATAAACTGTTGAGATAGAATGGTCTTTGAAAGAGGGGTAAAACTTACCTGTAAAACTGGGCCAGGTGTTGTCAAAATTTTTTTAATTGTTGTCGTATCTTTTCCATCTCTGCTTTAACTATGTGGTTAGGACTCCTTTTCCAATCTTTATGTTGTTTATTTGTGCCCATTTTCATCTTGTTCAATTATGCCAGTTTTATTGTTTTGTCATGAAAACAACTTTGACATTGTGATTATCTTTTTCTAATTCATTGATTTTCTCCCTTGCCTGTTATCTCCTTGCTTCTACATTCTGTTTTTTAAACTTGTTACACAGTTCATCTTGTTCCTTAATTCAAGCATTTAAAGCCATTTCCCTTCAAAGTGCTGTTTCTGCTGCAACCAATTTTTAAAAATACGTTTCTTGTAATTAGGTTCTAAGAATTTGTTTCCTTCTTTCTTCTATGTTTTTTAAACTTGTAAATGTATGATTTTTAAAAACTTAATCTTTATTATTGACCTCTACTTGTTTCTGATTATCCATTCGATATCAATTATTTGAAATTGTGATTAACTTTATATCTAGTACATGGTCAATTTTTGCTAATATGCAGTACACTTAAGAAAAATATTTAGTTATTGAATATAATAGTCTAAATATGTCCATTGAATCAATATTGTTAGTTACATTACTTAAATGTTTTCACTTATTGTCTGCTTCATTTATCAACAATTGAGAGCTGCTGAAATTTCATGCTGTTGTTCCATTTGTTGCATCAGCCCTATATAGTTCACACATTTTGAGGCCATTTCATAAGGCATATACAAATTTGTTATATATTCCTAGTGAATTGATCCTTTCATTTTTAATGGCTTTCTCCATCTTTTATATCCTAAAGTCTAATTTTAATTAAGATCACTATAGCTACACAAGTTTTCTTTTGATATTTGGCTAATGTATTGTTATCTTTTTTATTTTCAACCTCCAAACTAGTACAACCTCTATAGAAAGTAATATGGAGATACCTCAAAGAGCTAAAAGTAGAATTACCATTTGATCCAACAATCCCATTACTGGGCACCTACCCAAAGGAAAAACAAAACTTCCTTGTGTCTTATATTTCAGGTGTTTTTCTTTTAAACAGCCTATAGTTATTTTTTTTTGTTTTAATCTGAGAAGACTGTCATGTAATTGGGTAAGTCAGTCTACTCATATTTATTAGACTTGGTACTATTACCTTACTTTCTAATTTTGCTCCCATCCCCAAAATTTCTTTATTTGTATTGAATTATTGCCTTCCTATTCTGTATTTTAAACTTCTTTTCCTTTGGATGATTTATCCCCTATCTATTCTTTTAGCAGTTACCCTGGAAACCTAACTACACACATTTAACATAATCAATTTTAAAGTTAAACAGTATCTTAACTAGTTTTCTGAATAAAAATATCACAGAACACTTTAGTCGACCTCTTCCCAGCTTATAAGCTACTGTCCAGTTTTTCAATTACAACCTTATTTTACAATTCCACATTATTAACATTGTATAACAATGTTTATTTAGTTTTACATTTATTTACAATTTCTTAAAAACATTTCCTTCATTGATAGTTTTATGCAAACAACATCTTAAATTTGTAATTTATCATTTTATTTACTTCTTCAATCTCAGATCATTCTTTGGGAAGCATTTTCCTTCTTGAAGACCATCCTTTTGCAGTTTCTTTAATGAAGGCCTGCTGATGGTAAAATCCATTTTTCATCTGACCACCTGTTTCAGTTTTGTTTGGTGCAAATTCTGACAATTACTACCTTGGGTCGAAGCATGGATTTTATCTAAATATGTGCTTGGGATATTGTGCTTCCTGAATTTATGAATTTCATGTGTTTCCAACAATTGTAGAAAATTCTGTTATCTCTTCAAATATTGCCTCTCCTTCATTTTGTCCTTCTGGTCTTTATAGTTCTTATCAACTTTCTAATAATTTGTAACTCCTTGTTTCTTAGTTCCTCAATGTGTAATGATTTAAACCTAGCTTCTAGCTCACTTGTCTCTTCAACTGATTCTAATGATGTTCGACATGTCTGAAGGTTTCTTTTTTTCTTATTTCAATAAATATCTTTCTCATTTCTAGGAGTTCCATTTGGTTCTTTTCAGACTTCTTATGTTGATAATGAGAACTTGAGGAACTGAATTCAATGTTTATTTTTTCTATAGGTTCTTCCACATGGTAGCTAGTTTCAACTTGTGCCTGGTGATCTGTATTCATGAAGTAATACTACTTGATCATAATCTATAGGAATCTTAGACCTAAATTAGGAAGGTTTGCCCCTTTGCTTCTGCCAGGCACTAGAGTACTACAAACTGAGGGCCATTTAACCTTCTTCAACTGTCCTGGCTAGAGCAGCATCTCAGATTCGGGTCTCTCCTTGTTTCTGGTTTGAGGCAAACTGCATGTAGCATGCTACTACTGGTATTTGCCATACCGGCAACCATAGTTTACTTCGATGCTTAATATAATATTCATGATTTCCAACTTAAAATCTGTTCCTTTTTGTGGAGAAGGAAAGATAGAGGTGTGGTTCTTAAAGATTTCTCCTACTTCCTTTGAGCCTATTCAAAAGTAGACTTTATTCAGGATCTAGTTGGTTTACAATATCTAGTCTAACATACTGCTGAAAGCAAAAGTCTTATTTTATATATTAAATATATTAAAACTGTTATGATACACTAACCCGAAAAAGCACATGATTTATGTCATTCTTTAATGATTCAAACCTCTCTGGAAAGGTTTCCTCCCTCTTGATTAGAATAAAACATGCAATTTATTGAAATTAAATGCATATTATAAAGGTCCTAGAGGATGAACTTACTCCAACGTTGTTCCACTTGATACAAATTTCTCCTAGAGCTCTATTACTAAGATATACAGTCCACATTGACTGTTCAAATTTTTAATGTCCTGATTAATGTGTAATCTAGATTAGTAGGACTAACATCTATGATAAATAATATCCCATCATTTTGAACCTTTTAAAAATAGACAATAATGATTTGTTATGTGCAACTTCCATCTAGATGCATAACTTTATTTTTGGAAACCTGGGCCACCTATAATATAAACAGGCTAACCAAGGCAGGTGGTGAGTTCATTTTAGTCAGAAACACACCTAACAGGCATTATGGCAGCAAATCTGGCTGCTTCTATCCTAAATACAGATGGATTGTTTACATTTTTATTACTCATAATTTTTAATCAATGTTCTCTGGATGATCAGGAAGCTCTTTGTGCCTCATCCTAATCACTGAAGTAATGAAAGGAGATACCCACAGCAAGGACTGTAACTGCAAATGCTGCAATCACACCTAAAAGTAAAACAAACACAAAACAAATGAAAATGGAATGAGCAAAAGAAAGGCTTAACTAATTCTAGGCTCTGAAATGTGGGTAACTGATGGGTCAAAACAACAACACATATATACATAGACATATATGCTATCATAGACACACACACATACACACACATATATATGTTCTTAAAGCCAGCAAAAGAAAAAAAATCTTAGAGAAAAATATAGCAGTAAGTTGAAAATTTAGATTGCAAATGTTGGACAAAGTGTCTCTCTTGCACACATGCGTGCACTCAGACATATCTAAGAGAAAAACTAACAAATACTGTAAAAGGGTTCTATAAATATCTATATTGGCATACCAGCTATCTCATGCTACTTAGCTCAAACCAAAAGGCAGCTCCAAAACAGCCTGTTGGAGCTATAATGCAAAGCCATTTGTGTCACTACTGAAAACTGCAGAAGCCCACATTCTACCATTTTAAAATCTAAGAATTAGTAAGTCTGGGTTGGTAACTTTTATTTTTTCCTGATTATAGTAAGTTTAAAAGAGAAACTGACCGGAGTAGCCCAGACAGAAACACACACACATGCACACACATACAAATTTATCTAATGAATGACAAGAACTACAACTGAATCTTCTGGCTCCTAATTCTCAGTCAAAAGTCTTAACGCTTAACAGTTCTTAAATTGTTCCTTCACTAAACAATAGTCTACATGTTCTTTTTTCACAAAGTCTGAAAAATGTTCAAGTGACTTTTGCACTTCTTAGAGCCTGTAAAATACAGAAGTTCGTAATAAATGTCCAGACTTGAATTTGACTTTTTTCCATAGAACATCCATCAAAATCTCCTGCAATAGTAATACTAAGAATACAATTTGGAAAACATTGGCCCTACTCTACTAACTGATGCTCAAAACTCTACACATTTTTCTTCTAAAAATACAAAAAAAAAAAAGATGTTTCATTTTTTAGAACACGTGGAGGATAACACATTATTTACAAATCTTTCTATCTCCAGGGCCTGGAACTTTCCATAATACTCAATAAATACTGACTTAATCTAGCACCTTTAAGAAAGCAAAATGAAATGAAAATAATTTTAAAGCAATATGAAAACTCAAATTCAAAAATCATCTTTTTGATGTTATAAAAGAAGTAAAATACCTATGTTTTGCTGAATTTTCAGTACTATTGTAGTTTTGATTGGTTGTTTTGGTTGTTCATCATCTGTGTTGTCCAATGAAGCTTCACTATTCATAGAAGAACTTACACAAGCTGCAAAAGGATAATAATAAACACTACATAAAATGAGATTTAAAAATGAGTTTTAAAGAACATCACAACAAATTAAAATCAATACCATTTTCCTTCCATTTGTCTTTTTTATAATATAATGAATTTTCTCCTAATTAAATGAAGGTGGATTAAATTTAAGGAAATATATGTCAAAATGACATAGTTTTCAAACACTTAATGTAGCTTTCTCACTGACCTAAACCAGAGGGCCACAGAGCCAGATCTGAATGACTCTAAGAAATTATAATTCGTTTACTATATAGTAGTAGAGATAAATTGATATCAAAAGTCAAACCAGAGAGTAGCAAGGTAAACTTCACTCCTAATTGAGGATTAATTTATATAATTCTTATTGGTGGTTTTGGCAATTAATAATTTTAAATAATTAGATAGTAATAATAAAATCATGGATCAGCAAACTGCAGCCCATCAGCCAAAACTGGCCCATGACCTTTTTTTACAGCTCTTAAGCTAAGAATGAATTTTTATATTTTTAAAGGGCTATAAAAAAGGAATATGTGAAATAGATTTTATGTGGCCGACAAAGCCTAAAATATTTACTATTTGGCATCATACAGAAAAAGTTTGCTTACACTTAACCTAACTTGAAATTTGATATATTCAAATATATAAGCAAAATATGATTAGAAATTTGATCTTAGAACAACTCTGAATGTTAAGCAAGGCAAAGACATCATCCCATTTTACAGATGGAAAACAAAACCTGGGAGCTTAAATGCATACTTGAAGGTCATGGCCCGTCAACTGAGAATGTGAACACAAGTTCTCCTTCTATTGCATTACGCTGACAGCAATTTACGTAGGTTGACCTATCTGAATTTATTTAATGAAAATGTTTGAACTTATAATATCCTTAGAGATTACACAGGCCAGTGGTTTTCAATATGTTTTGTAGTGTTGAAGAATCCTATGAAAATAAATAAGATCTAACAGAAAATCTCAAGTTTGTGAAATATATGAAAGTAGTACTACTTGGGTAGAAGCAGAGATGGAGGGTTCCTGGAGTCAGACAGCTCCTTTCTCCCCCAGCACCTAGAGGTGGGAGAGGTGGTAAAGGAGTGCTATTCCATAGAACTCCAGAGAGCTGCACATGAAAGCAACTACATAAGACTGATCTCTTTATTTACAAAAAACCAGAAGAGAACCACAGAATCGGAGAGAGTTAATGTTAAAATTTAAAGTAAAGTAGCCTACTGTTCTGATTTTAAAATGTTCCTGTAGACATTTCTGTATCCCAATACAAAAACATAGGCTCACAAGGATAACATATAAACTTAATAGATATCTATGGTACCAAAATAGATGAAAAAAAATACCTACTTATTAATTTCCCATGAAGAAAAGTTTACCATGATTTTCAGAAATAATCCCTAATAACTATCTCATTAGAATCAAGGGCACCATCATTTTTTATTTTTTCTTTAAGCATATAACTAAAGTATTTTAAAAACAAACAAAAAACCCTCTTCTCTTTTTTCCTACTCTCACATCAAATCAATCACAAAGAACAACAAATTCTTACGAAGCATCTTTAGAAATATCTAGTCTTCTACATTTCCACAGTTTCTAGTTTTCTCATGAGCTCTAATATCTTAGTTCCAGACTACATTAACCCACTAGCTTAAAATTTCTTCCAACTTCAGTCTATAGGTCTAAAAGTTGAATGGATAATACAATTTTATTTATATTTAAAAAACAAAAAACGTTGGGTCTTCTATGAGTAAATATCTCTGCTAAAAAGTTTTTCTTTCATATTTAGGCCAATAAAATCCTTTTATCAAGTAACAAAAATAGTGAAGTATTAATCATACCTATTTGCTATAAGAATTTTTTACTTGTATACATGTATACAAAGCACACAAAAATTGTTTTACCTTAATACCTTACTTATACATTTAATGTTGAATTGCTATATATGGTGATCATGCTCTAGTACATCAAGTCCTCTGCACAAGTAATTTATTTCTATAAAAGACATTCCACTACTCTATTTCCATTTTTAAAATCTGTCATACAAAATCATGTTATTTGATACAAATTTGAGATAATTTTACCAAAGCAGAACGTTTTTCAAGGAGGAATAAGGCCTGATCACAACAATTTATTTGTCTATTTTTAGTGGGGGCTTGTAGGATTTTAATGCAAATCTCAGACACTATGTCACTTCACCAATATTTCAATATTTTACCTGAAATTTAAGTGCAAATAATGTGATGATTCCATAGAAAATTATATCTCAGCAAGTCCCTAAAACCACATAATTTTAAGTTCAGACAAATTCCAAATTACTCATGAAAGAAAGTAACCTTGAGTGTCTGTCAACAAAAGAGAAAACAAGGGCCATGGTGAATGCATGCAAAGTTTTGGAGGTGCTCAGATTTCATTCCAAGCTACTGATAGGTATGCGGGACCATTTAGAAGCTTAAAATGAAATGTTAGGACTTGAACTCCTTAGTTGTCTTCTTCTCTATACCTAAATCCTAAATTAACAATGTATCACTATAGTCAGCAATTTAGCCATAAAATTACATCTTCAGCATTATTCATTTTTCCTATACAATTAAATTATCAATGTTTAATAACAAAAATTAATTTTAGCTCTGATATCAAGATAATATTGGCAAAGATGAGTTCCACCATATTTTAAAGTTGTGTCTCCAAATTTTTTTAGCTGATACTGTGGATAAAGCACATCTGATTTATTAAGTTAATGTCTACTAGGAGATGACTAACACATCTAAGAAATGTTAAAGCCCCACAGTTATCCCTCATCTTAAGTGAGTCACTTTAACAAACAAGTTGCTCTTCATCCCTTAAGTCATTTAACAGTATGTTATTTTAAGTTACTTACTTGGCAAAATATGTATTTTAAACATAGCAACTACTTGGCAACTATATTACAGAACAGAAATAATTAAATAATAATGAAGCAAATAATACAAGTTGAGTATCCCTTATTTAAAATGCTTGGGACAATAAGTATTTCAGATTTTTTTGGATTTTTAAAACCATGTATGTCTGGCTAGGTATAAGCTTATAATTTTTCAAGAATAAAGTAAGCATGAAAAAGATGTCTGTGGTTTCCTTAAACTTATTTATTCAGTATTTATTAATCAGTAATAAATACTTATGAGAACCTACCATGTTTTAGGCAGAGAGCTCAAATAAATAAATAATTATTCTACTTATTTACTTACTATCAAAGATCTTATAGTCTAAGGGGGAAGGTCAACATTAAATAAGATTATCAAAAGTGGGAAAAAAAGAAAAACAAAAAATGCAATTACTATAGTCTGCATTGGTTAGGTACCACAGAAAGGCTATAAAACAAAATTGTTAGGAAAAAAGCACAGACTTTAAAACCAAACTTTTTAAGATTAAATTCCAGCTCCAGCATTCCATAACCCTAGAAAAGTTAAGTAACTTTTCTGAGCCTTAATTCTGTCATCTGGAAAACAATGTTAATAATAGTAACTACATCACAGGGTTGTTATAAGGATTAAATAATTTGGTATTCCTAAGACTCAAAACAGTACCTGGAAAATATTGTTTTCAAAAACTGTAATAGATACTTCCTGCTAGAGAATATGCTACAGTTATACCTTTAGAAACATTAGCTTTCAAGAAAATAAAACATAACTGCTTCTTAAACATCAGGTAGTGAGCAATTTAGAATAGCTTTTTTCCCTTTTAAAATAAACTATTTTCCACATCATGACCAATACTAATCTAGAATTATGAAAAAACTAGAACCCAGTGGTCTCCAACTAACTTGAGGCAGTTTACTGACAGATTTGATATTTTCCAATCAAATAATTACCTGATCACCATAATTTCAAGTGCACTATGAATCAAACACTACTCCCACTGGGTGTGAGAATTAGCAATGCAAAAAGATATAACTATGAAATTAGAAAAGAGACTTAAAAAGATTGCTATATTCAAAACACCCATATTCATAAACACCCATATTCTAATATAACCTGAAATTTTTCTACTAAGATATCATAAGTTTCAAGAATGATAGCTATTTATTCAACATTTATTCACATTTACAAATAATTACTTTTATGGTACATTTTAAAATGTTTTAGGAAGACTATCTTCCACTTACATATTTACAGACTCATTTTCATATTCTGCACTCACCAGAAAACAAAAACAAAGCAAAGCAAAATAAAAAACAAAACCACCTTTCAAAGTATAAGGTCAAATGTGAAAGTGATGGCTAGGGGAAGAAAATGTGTTACCCAATTGGATGGTATGGCAAATCTATGCTCTACAAAAATAACCATTAAACTAATTTTTTAGAACTGCTCATCTCAGCTTAGTGTTCCAATTATATGAAGGGGATATAAAAAGGCAAATAAAATAAAGAAACTGTTGAAAAAACAAAATGTTTAAAAAAACTGTGTGACATGCTGGTTTACCAAATAATTACGATAATGTTTTTCTTTAAAAGTAGACTTCATTGTTTTTTCCAACTATAAGACGTATATACTTGATATAGGAAATTGTGAAAATATAGAAAAGCATATAGAAAAATTTTTTTATTTTATTTCAGAATATTTCAGAGGTTTTGAGAAATTTTTTCTCTTATATTAAAATAAATACTTTAAAGCTTTATATTTCCACTTATTTAAGGCTGAACTTGTTTTATGAAGATCTCCTTGCTAGATCTGAAAAAAACTGAAGTCTCTTAAATTTTGGTACAATTTCCTAGGAAAACACATACTATATGTTTATATATGCAGAAAATAAACAAATGTACTTTTAAATGCCTCAGTTAATATTTTGAAGTATCAAACAGAACTAGCTTTAGTTGAAAGCTTTAACTGAAAGACATACTATTTAAATTAGACATCTCACAGGTAATCTTGGCTGTAGTCTAATCAGGTTCTTAAATAACATCATATAATTACCTGTGTTTATTTCCTCTGCAATTTCCAAGTCTTCTATTTGAATCATATGATCTAACATCTCTATAAAATGGTCTCTGATTTCTTCAGCTGACTCATCACCAAATTTATAATCACATAACATTACAGTGGATCCAGGAATTGGGACAAAAACTCGATGAGGGAGGATGTGGAACTCTTTTTCAGAATCTAAAAGCAGAAGGAATATTATCAATATTTAGATAGGTCTGTCACTGGTATCAGTGATATATTTTTTAGAATTATATGAAAACATCCAACATAAATAAAGTTTAAAAGGTTAATGCCTTTTCATTTTCTAATTGATCTGGCACAAAATTGCTCATACTGAATTATGTTTTACCTCAATATACCTGGACTCTGCAAAGGACCTATAAAAATACTAATATAAAACTTATAAATTTATAATTGCCTTCACTGTAAAGATGTTGATTATACATTCTTTTATGACCCACTGTCTATGCAAGAACACTTAAGAAAGAATCTCATCCTTGTTCTCAGAAATTGTCCTTCTCGCTTGTTTTAACCGTATAAGCACTGTATATTAGATAGTCAATCTTTCCCTTCTTCAAATTAGTGGCCCATCTACATTAAGCATACAGCATATAACAGCACACATTTTTGTACTCATCTCACTACTGACTTCATGTTACTAGATGTAGCCCCCTCTCTATATCAAGCATGTTTAGGACATCAAGACCAATCTTACACTGCCAATACCACCTTGCTTTCTTTTTATCTTCCCTTTGCCTCCTTAATAATACTTATTCTTCTCTTGTTTACTTATAATGTCTCTTTGTAAATAGCTTTAAATCATTTTTAGAAACAACGAATCTGAATATAAATAAATAAAGAATAACTATTTTTCATTCTTCTTTGAATACTTACAAGCCTGAATATATTATATCCCCCAATTTCTAACTTAAAGAGTTACTGGTCCACACAAATACATAATTATTTTTAGTTCAACACCATGATTCTAATGAACTATCACAAAGATAGAGATTTTGTGTAAAAAGTGACCTCTTTCAGCAACAGATATATTAAAAAGCTACTAAGAAAAAGATCAAGTAGAAAACTAAGGCTCACTCTGATAGTAAGCTATACTTCCTTGGAAAGAAACTAGTGGAAACTTTATATAATTACAAACAGAAGATGATGAACAAGGCCTTAAGTGTCATGAGACTGTTATGACTTAAACTGTATTCCTTCTAGATTCTGTGTATTATCTTGTTTACATATAATAACTGGGAGAACAATTTTAGTCTTTGACCAGATTGCCTCCTAGCTGTAGAATTACGTTACTGCAATTTGTGCTGTAGCATATAAATTATGTAGGTATTGAAATTAAGAATATATTAATATATTTTGGGCCACAGTTACTTGAAACATATTAAGCAAAAACTTTCAAAGATGACTATAATGTGCATATGCAAAAGACATGCAAAATTTTAAAACTATTTCAAACTACATAAATTGTAAGTTTATCTGAAAAAAGAATAACATGCTATAAAGTCAAATGTTAAAGAATCAGTTGCAGCTGGGCACTGTAGCTCACTCCCTGTAATCCCAATGCTTTGGGAGGCCAAGGTGGGAGGATCACTTGAGGCCAGGAGTTTCAAACCAGTCTGTGCAACACAATGAGGCCTCGTATCTATGAAATAATAATAATAATAATTGGTTGCAATAAATTTACTCATTAAAAAGGAAAAAGCATTTATAACTTTCAGATTGGCTATTTAATATCAAAATAAAACCAAGTTTTCTAGTTGGTCTAGGGTTAAAAATGAGAAATCTTTTTGAAAAGACACATCTCAAAAAGTATTCCAAAAAATCCTTTAGGATATTCCCATAACAAAGTATCTAGTTCAACATTATTTGAGTAAGTTTAGAGAAAAAAATTTTAAATTTAAGCCAGTATAATAAGAATTAGGGTTCTGCCCATTAAAAATAGAATCCCTAGCGGGTATCAGAGTATTATAGAAGTTTTTTTAGAACAGGTGATACCAGAGCTGAATCTTGAAGGATAACCAGACATTTGCATAAAGGGATGGGGAGAAATGTCATCAGGACAGTGGAATCATGGGCACAGGCAAAGAGGATTACCAATGCTCTTAGAAGATAAGTGGTACGGATGGATACTGATGTAGGAATGGAAGAAGGTAAGACATTTCACAATTGATGACCTAAATTTTCTCAATGAGTATGTGATCTATTGAGAGTAAGTTGGGCAAGACTGAATGAAGGTTTACAGCAAATAATGAAGAAGCCTTAGAATCTGTTTTAAGGAGAATCAAAGAAGAGAAAGATCATAATAAGTAAAATGACTTAGAGTTCTGATTTTTTTTACTGTCACTGAAATATTAAGTTCTTTCATCTGTATAGAAAGAATGCAAAGACTGTGTTTACTTTTTTGTTGTTTTGAGACAGAGCGCCACTCCATTGTGTAGGCTTACCATGCTGCGGCACCAGCCCAGCTCACAGCAGCCTTAAACTCCTGGGCTCAAGTGATCCTCCTGCCTCAGCCTACTGAGTATGTGGGTCTATAGGCATGTACCACCACACCCAGCTACAAAGACTATGTTTACTTTAAAGATTGGGAATTTAAAGTTAATATGTCCTTTGCAGACTTTCTTATGCCTGCTGAAATATTCTAAATCAGGTTAATTTCATGGCATCCATTCTACATTTTACCATATTAAAGTACCTATAAGAAAAATAAGCTAAATAAAATGAGGACAAAATCTAAAATCTAACAATTAGATGTATATATATTCAACTTTAGAAATTTACATTTATTTGTATTATTACACTTGCAATTTATTCTTTTATCTTGATATCTTAAGATAAACTAATATGTTGCTGGAGTAATCATCCTGTTACTGAAGTTTAAAATACATATAACTTGTTTCTTTTTGTAATATAATGCTAAATTTCCCAAAAATTAAAGTTAAGAAACTTTAAAGACAACTAACAAAGTTAGTAATTCTTCTCCTTCATAATCTTTAACTTAATAGCATTACCACTTACTGAGTGCTGGACTTACACCAACTTGTATTATAAACATCACCTCATTTAATCTCACAGCCTCAAAAAGTAACTATTACAATTCATGTTTTACATGTAAGAAAACAGATGCTCATAAAGGCTGAATCATTTGTTTGAGGCCACTCAACTAGTAGTAGAATAGACACAGAAGCTAAGAACTTCAGTCTGTGCTCTGTGCAGTCTATTTCTTTACACAGGTCCTGAGGCCACTCAATCACCAGTGAAAACTTTTTCATTTTTTAAGAACTTATAATTAGATAACATTAAGTTCTAAATACACCAAATGTAATGCACAAATAGTACAAATGCTATTAGAAGCCGTTAATTTACTAATTGGACATCAGAAATTTCAAAATACTAACTCGATATAAAAGAATACCAGGATAGTCATATACTATCATCTTTATAAAGCCTTTTTAAATGGAAAGAGTATACTAATGTGTGTGATAAGGTAGATCTTTAATGTTAATGGTGATATGTCTTCATGCCCCTGAAAATCTTAAAATTCACAATTCAGCTGTAAGACACTGTGCTCAGAAAGAGAAGTAATGGATTTATACCATAAGAGTTACTCAGAGTCGAGTAGCAAAATCAAAGCCATACAAGATGAGGCTGCTAGGCTGACTGACTACGTGAACAGGTCCCACATATTTTCCTTGTAAAAATCTCAATCCAGTTGCTACATCTAAGATTCAAATTTATGTCTTAGCAAAATTATATATCATTAGTACATGAAATTTGAGGATAGTTTGTGAATTGTGGAAAGAATAAATGTTAAATCTGGCAATCTCAAGAATACAACATACTAGGAATATTAAAAAGATTATGATTAGTCCATCAAACCTAATATACTGGCTATCAGCAGTACTAAAAGAAGTTAGTTGCTCTACACACTTACCAGTGAAAAGGAAGATTAAAAAAAAACCAATATAATAATAAAAAAAAAGAAGTTAGTTATACAGAGGAGCTATGCTTTTTTCCTATGGACAAAAAAATATTACCTTGGAATTTCATAGTCATTTCTTAAAAAAAAAAAATATTACCTTAATAAGCTAACATGTATGTTTTAATTATATACATATCTACTTGTATCTGAATAGCAGAAATGGGGAAATGAGGGTATAGCTTCAAAAAGCATACTCAATATTTTAATTTTCTTTTTAGGTAAAAAAAATATTTTTTTTTTTTTTTTTGAGACAGAGTCTCACTTTGTTGTCCAGGCTAGAGTGAGTGCCGTGGCGTCAGCCTAGCTCACAGCAACCTCCAAACTCCTGGGCTTGAGTGATCCTTCTGCCTCAGCCTCCCGAGTAGCTGGGACTACAGGCATGCGCCACCATGCCCGGCTAATTTTTTATATATATATCAGTTGGCCAATTAATTTCTTTCTATTTATAGTAGAGACGGGGTCTCGCTCTTGCTCAGGCTGGTTTTGAACTCCTGACCTTGAGCAATCCGCCCGCCTCGACCTCCCAAGAGCTAGGATTACAGGCGTGAGCCACAGCGCCCGGCCTAAAAAAAATATTTTTAATACAAATTACTAAGATGGTATAAATGGTTTACATTTCCCAAAAGATGGGATATTCATTAAATGGTAAAACAACGTAACTCAGCCTTTTTTAAACCAAAAATGTCTGTTAGAGTATTAGCTAAAGTATAAAAATTAATGTAGTTTATATAAATAGTACTTATTAAACAATCTATTATACAGTACTCAACACTAATGAGTAACATCTTAATTATGGCTAAATTCTTGAAAAAGCACATAGATATTAACAAAAAATATTAGCTTTAAAAATGTCAACACAGTTTACTCATTCTGGCAAGGGAAGGTTTACTCAGAATTAATTTTTAAAAATCCTCCGGTCAGGTCAGGTGGCTCATGCCTGTAATCCTACCACTCTGGGAGCCCGAGGTGGGAGCATCACTTGAACCCAGGAGTTTGAAAACAGCCTTGGCACCCCAGCAAGACACCCTTTCTACAAAAAAGTAGCCGGGCATGGTGGCGTATGCCTGTAGTCCCAAACTGCTTGGGAGGCTGATGCAGAGGGATTCCTTGAGCCCAGGAGTTTAAGGTTGCAGTGAGCTATGACACAACTGCACTCTAGCCTGGGTGACAGAGCCAAACCCTATTTAAAAAAAAAAAAAAATCCTCCCTGAAATTTGAAATTGTTGTATCTTGACAAATTTGCTATTACAGCATTTAAAAAAAAATTTCTGGGCAACAACTGAAAAATTTTCATTCAATAATGAAAGTAAAAGATGACATTGTTATAAAAGATAGGTAGGCAGCTATAAAAGATGACAAATCTATTATATCTTGATGTCCCACTATTATATCAATTGAATACATGCAAAAATTAGTACTTATTTTATACTCATAACTTTTTTTTCTGGAATTTCATTCAAAAGCAGATCCTCAAATAGTATTTCACAACGATCAGCAACCGTGTTCAATATATCCCTCTTCATTGCCTATAGGAAAAGAAACATGAAAAAATACAAGAAATAAAATCCTTTAGATTTAGATTTATATTATTTAATTACCAAAAAACCCTACATAATTTGCTTTCAAGTATAATCATGTCTACTAAATAACTCATACATCATTCTATTTTTTATTTCCATTTATTTGACATGTTTAACATATTTATAGTTTAAAGACAAATTTGCCTACCAATAAATTTACCTAAGTAATAAAGTAAAACCAAAAAAATGAATAACATTTTTATATAAACAAATAATGCCAGTGTTCCAAATTAGGAAATGTATAACTATGACATAAATACCTGTCATCAGCTTTTAAATTTCTGAGCTATATGGACTATAGAACACTACTTAATAATTCTTCCTATAAATACTTTTTCTGTTATTTGAAAAATTCAATTTCCCTCAGAAGAAATAATTTCAAATGGACTAATTTGATACAACTGTGGAGCTCTTACTAAACCTATATAATTATCATTTTTAAAAAATGCATAAAATAGATATTCTATGTATGAAAATCTTAGAACCAAATCTATTAATATGGTACATTTGGGGTGCCCAAAACATTGGGCCCTTATTGGTTAAAATAAAATTAATAATTATAAAATCTGATGTTGAAAAAAGATAAAATTGTAGGCTTTTGAATAGTTTGGTTAACATGCTTCCATTTTTAATATACCAGTACTTCCATTTTGTACCTGCACAGCATCTTTAACCTTGGGTTTATGGCTGTGAATATAAGCTCTGCATTTCACAGCACCCTTGAGGTTTACAGAACCACTGCATATCTGGACCGTGGCTGTGGATCTGTGGTCTGAATTTAGGAGCTGAAAGACAAAATCTGTTGTAAGTTCCAATAGCCAACAATTATTAACCACAGGAAACAAACATTATGTAAACCATCTTACAAAGAATCAGGAATTTTTGACTGAGTCAAGTGTTTGAAAATATGCTGCATAAATTATTTATAGGTCTTCATATTTCTCTTTATAAGTTATAAATTATTTTCTGAGCATTTTGAATGTACACTGAAATTAAACACGACTACTTTTAAATTATTTTACTGACATAACATCTAAAAATCCAATATACATTCAGTATATTCACTAAAAATGTATTATTTGCAGATTACTCAGATAAGTACTGTGAAGATGAAAAGATGTACAAAGAAGACATGATGTAATAGAACAAGGGTCCCCAGCCTGTGGTGAGTTGTGTAATTATTTCATTATATAGTACAATGTAATAATAATAAAAATAAAGTGCAATAAATATAATGCGCTTAAATCATCTGGAAACCACCCCCCAAGCCCCCTCATCCGTGGAAAAATTATCTTCCATGAAAATGGTCGCCAGTGCCAAAAAGGTCAGGGACCGCTGTAATAGGAGATGTAAGATATACAATAGAAGATATGTATAAAAATAAAATAAAAAGTGAGATGTAGTAAATATGGTAAAATTATAATCAAGTCATAGATATACATTTATTTATACATTTTCAACTCATAACTTTCATAGAATGAAAGTAATGTTATGCTTCAGAGCAAAAACAAACACACTAACTATGCCTGACACCAGAAAATGATATTAGTGGCTGTAAATAGTCTCTTTCATCTTGCAGTTCCATTTTCTTTAGTCTAAGCAGTGTTAGCTCCTGCTTGGTCTTCAGGTGTTTTGCAGATATTTTTCACCTTATCATCTTAATAAGAGCCAAAACAAGGAGAACGATGAAACCCTGAAAGTACTAGAAATAGCAAGAACATCCCTAATCCAAAAATCTGAAATGCTCTAAAATCTGAAATTTACTAAGCGTCAACATGATGCTCAAAGGAAATGTTCACTGGAGCATATCGGATTTCAGAGTTTTAGATTAGAAATGCTCAACTGGTAAATAATTCTCAAATCTTACAAAATCCAGAAAAATCTGAAACCCAAAACACTTCTGGTCCCAGGCATTTCAAATCAGGTATATCTAGTCACTTCAAAATATCTAGTCAGTTGACCAGTGAAATAACCAACAAAAATATATTATACTACATGATATTAAATAACTATCATGACAAATTATCTTTTATTATTTTCCATTCTTCCTTCTATATTCCCACACTCTATACATCTCCCAACTATACTTTTTTCACTAAAATAATTTTAATCAAACTGTTCAATAAACTAAGAGGTAAGCCTAACTAGTAAAGAGCATAAAGGTACAGAAAAAGCCAGCCTTAAAACAAAGGAAATTTCTAAAATCAAAACAAAGGAACAAAATAAGAGACTAAAATACTTCTAAGATATTGAATAAAAAATTGAGTACTCATGTTGAGTGGCATAAGTAACAATTTAGTAATGTTCTATTGCTAAACACAGAGAAAGGGAAGAAATGAAAACATCCTCAGATGCCAAACTGCCTTTAATTCTACTTTATTCAGTTAAGAAAATCCAAGTCCTAGTAGTATTTTCTTTTCAAAGCCCAGTATAATATTGAAATTAAAAGTTTTCTACAAACATGGCTGTGCTATTTTATACCCTTGTCTGTTCATCAGGATAATTTTGAGCAGGTTTAAAATCAAAGGCATGTATACTTTTAGAAATAATTAGTGGCTTTAAATTTTTTATTCTTCAAGATATCCAAGTTTAAATTTTCGAAGAGAGTTGTAATTTAAAACAACCAAACAGAAATATAAAACTTACTAATATTTTGAGATTTTTATCAAATCAGAGGAGATATAAATCTATTTCAAATTAAGTATATGACAACTCTTTGCACATCTGTGCATACATCTTTTACTTCTAAGTTGTTAAGAATTGCAATTTCACTCATAAAACCTACAACCCAAATTATTTACATACATGTAGCACACACATGTATGTATGTATATATGGTTTTAATAGCTATCTACTTGATGTTAAAAATTTAATAACCTTAAGGCAAAAGACCCAAATAGATTCCACTAATGTTTCTTGTGAATAACTTTCCTACAACTAGACATTTTATACAATCTCTTACATCTCTAAAATTCTTTTATTCTTTCATTATAATCATAAAATCAGAAATAATTTCATTATGGTTATTCTAAGAAACAATCAATTTAAAATAAGTAGCATTTTAAAATATTTACCAACTGTGTTAGCACTCTGACATCAAAACAATGACTAGTAGTTTGAGTATTTCCTCTGGAAGATTTTTTCTGAAAAAAACACAAAATTTAAAAAAACAGACTTTGCAATTATAAGTGGAATATGTTTAGAAACTATCTTACATATACTAAATAACTTAAGAGAAAAAACAAGTCTTATTACATATTTTAATTTAGCTTTTTATACAATGTTACTTTATGTATTCTGTATCAATGTGTACTCTTAGAAATCTTTAATTCCCTACTTTCAGTCCTCTGCAGCAGTTCCCAACCTTTTTGGTACCAGGGACTAGTTTCATGGAAGACAATTTTTCCACAGTAGGGAGTGGGGAGGGCAGAGCTCAGGCTATGATGTGAGCCATGGGAAGTGGCTATAAATACAGATGAAGCTTCACTCACTTGCCCACTGCTCACCTCCTGCTGTGTGGCCCCTAAGTTTCATGGAAGACATGGTCGGGGGAGGTTGGCAGAGCTCAGCAGCCTTATCACGAAGAGGCCATGGACCTGTAGCAATCTGTGGCCTGGGTGTTAGGGACTGCAACTCTAAAACAAGGACTGGCAAACTATTGCCTCTGGGCCAAATATCTGCATAGCCATCTGTCTTTGTAAATGGAGTTTGACTCAAACACAAGCATGATCATTTATTTACATATCATCTGTGGCTGCGTTAAATAGCAGAGTTAAATAGCTGTAACAAAGACAATATGGCCTGCCAAGTCTAAAATATTTACTATTTGGTTCTTTACAAAAAGTTTGCTGACCCCTGCTCTAAAGGAGAGATCATCAAAGTTTCTCTTCCTTTAGATTAAAGCTATTTTGGAAGCCCATACAGACACCTCTTAGAAAACGGCCACAGCATTTACAAGGCTGTCAGGACAGAAGAACATGTGGCCTTCAGTGATAAGTGAGCAGTTTACAATTTCAAGATAAGAGAGAATTTAAAAGACACTCTCTACTTCGGGTTTCCAATTACATCAGAAATAATCTCTTCCCATCATTTTCTAAGAAAAACATTTGCTCTTTACTGTAAAACAACCTTTGAAATGAGTAGATGAAACTGGTTTTCATGATGGCAAGGACTAAAGATAAGTCATCTTTTATTTTTTCCTAAAGCACACATAATTTAATAAGATGGTTTTCTCTGAACTCACCTGTCCCTCTAATAGGTCACAATCTTCATCTTTAACTTGTCCATTAATCAAATAAACACTGTTTTCTATTTGCTTGGCCCAGCGTGTAAGTCCATTCTTAAATACAACACAGAAATATTTCAGATATACTGTCATCACAATTAAACTCCCTAGTGTCTACTTTTTTCTACATAATACATTGAAATATTATTGATAAGATCCCTATGTATCAATAATACAATATTTAAATCCAGTCTCATATATTTAAAAAGGTATAATCCCAATTTTTGGTACATTATCCATATTTTATAAAATTGTTTTCTTATCTCATCCCAAACTAACATTTGTATCACAAACTCAGAAGGCTTATTAGCTACTTGGAATAGTTAAATAAAATTCAATACTGTTCATTATCTTTTTAAAAAGTGAGAAAAAAAGAGCCTCAAATGAATAATATAAAGCAGTATTAAAGAGCAAAAAATAAGCAAGCTCCATTTTTCTTTTTTTCCTTTTTTGAGGGGAAAAAAAAAGAGGCATCCAGCCTCCATTTTTCTTCTTCAGTGTGAAAAAGGAAGAAAAATGAGATATAAAAAGATTGGTATAGAAATGCAAAAAAGGGCTGGAAGTGGTGGCTTACACGTGTAACACCAGTACTTTGGGAGGCTGAGATGGGAGGATCTCTTGAGGTCAGGATATCAAACCAGCCACAGGCCACTTAGGGAGACCCTATTTACAAAAAGTAAAAAAATTAGCTGGGCGGGGTGGCATTCACCTGTAGTGCCAGCTACTGAAACAGGAGGATTGCTTGAGACCAGGAACAGGAGGTTACAGAGAGCTATGTTCAGGCCACTGCATTCCAGCAGCCTGGGGGACAGAGTGAGACCCTATCTCAAAAAAAAAAAAAAAAGAAAAGCAAAAACGGACTAGATAAGGGAAAAAACAAATCTAAGGACCAAGAGAAAGCTAAAAATCCAATCAGTATGACTTTTTACATAATTATGTTTTATAAGGGCAGGGCATAGTGGCTCATGCCTATAATCCTAGCACTCTGGAAGACCAAGGCCAGAGGATTGCTTGAAGCCAGGAGTTTGAAACCAGTTTGAGCAAGAGCAAGACCCCTTCTCTACAAAAAATAGAAAAATTAGCTGGGCATGGTGGTGTGTGCCTGTAGTCCCAGCTATTTGGGAGGCTGAGGCAGGAGAATCGTTTGAGCCCAAGAATTTGAGGTTGCAGCGAGCTATAATGACGCCACTGCACTCTAGCCTGGGCAACAGGGTAAGACAGTGTCTCAAAAAATAAAATAAAATAAAATACATTTACATATGCTAATTAATAAATATTTAGTATGTACCTATGATACTGAATATGCTAGTATTATGACATTGTCCCACCTCTAAAAATATTTCCAATCCGGCTTGGGTAATATGTAACTCACTCATATAACAATGTTATTATAAGTAGAATGTAATTTTCGAGGATTATAAAATGAATGATCCAAAAATTTTTTAAAAAAATAATAGGAAAAAAATGAATGACACAGGCAACCATAATAAAAATAGATTGTTCACTTAGCAATCATGAAAGAAAATTCATTTTCCCTGATACCTTTGTATTTTTCTCCAAAGTATAGTTGACAGAAGTAGTAGAAAGTGGAATGTGAATATTAATGTGAACTGCACACTCTAAAGAAAGCCATGAGGTTGATAATCCATTTTGATACTTCCAATCTGCTGGTTTTGCTGAACTCTAGCAGTAGAGAATGGAGAAAAATAAAATAGATGTGATTTAGGTAAGACACAAGGATCAATAAAACACAAAAGTGTACAACCTAGTAACTCATACAAGCTGATATCCAACATATTTGGGCAAATTCCTTGATCAAATGGCTATAGATTAGGAGTGAACAGAAAATAAAGCATGCATTCAGTTCAGTACTCTTCAATACATCCTAAGCAACCCTGGCAACCCTCCTCCTCCTCCCTCCAGTGGCAGACAGAAAAAGGATTAGAAAGTTCCATGTTTAGAATTCTGGAAAGTCCTTTGCTCTTCTAACTTTCACCTATAGCTTCCATAGTTATCAATTCTGAAGATCCTGATGTGGAGCAAATAATCACTGAGTGACTACTAGATGCCAGACATTTTTCTTTCCGTCCCATCCTTGCTAACAATACTGCAAAGTTACTTCCTCACTTTGCTTTTAGACACCTTATTAAAATGCTAGTCTGGATTCTGCTGAATACAAGTAGTTTGTTTCCTAGACATTGCAGCCATTAATACCAAACGTACTCAGTCACTTTTACTATCAGCTCCTCAAATATAACACTAAATACATAAACAAGGTAGGAGAAGCTTAACAAAAATTTTTAACAACTTAAAAAAAAAATATAAGTTTTCCTTGCCTACAATAAAATTGTGCATATTTCAAAATAAAAACTACAGTTGGCTGTGGACATCAATAGAAAGTGATGGCAATCAAAATAATTAAAACTAAATATAAAATATTAAAATTAAAATTAATTTTAATTTAAAAATAATTTACAACACAAAAATCTTTAAAAAGTAATTTTTCTTACCTTTGGATCATGGACATCGTAAGTTCGACAAAATATTCTTTACTAATTAAGGATAGAAATGACCAAAGAAAAGAATTCTTGATAATCAAAAGAATATAAAACATAAAAAATTAAAATTACAAAACACATGCATCCAAGAGTTCTTACAAAAGTCATAACACTTTATATACTTAAAGCTATATATACATGTATGTATATGTATGTATACATGTAACATTTGTGTATGTATACACACACAAATAAATTGCTCTGACTATAGCACTTCCAGTTCTTGAAAACTATTACCTTACATTTATAAATCCTGCTAATCACAATGAATAGAATAAAAGCACCTGTGAAATTTATCTTAACTATACCCCCTCCATAACAGAAAGGAGCACTGTTTTAGATGGGGTCAAGCCTCAGAATGTTCACTGGATCACAAGGCTTGGAAGTGAAACTGTCCAGGTAAATACCAAAGAAGTTAAAAGCTGAGCTTCTGCAGGAATGGTTATTTTTTAAATTGAGCCTTCCAGAAGTCGTAAATGATTAAGCCCTTTAGTTGCATTACTCCGTTGGTGAGGCTGTCTCTGGCTTGGAGGCACCCTACCCCTAGCAAGATGAAGAGAAGAAAAGCTAAGGAGGCCCTGTAACTGGCTTCTAGTGCCACTTGATCTTGGCCAAAGACATAAGAATTTCTTGGGTGCCCTACACTGTCTAGCTCAGCACATTAAAGCTCTGAATTGCACACTTTATCCAAAGGAATTAGAGGTTAAAAAAAAATATTACTTTATCTAAGCTGTCAGCTGAGCATTTAAATCTCTCTAGGGGATCTATTGTGCTTGGATGTATAGGGTAGATAGCTGGTAAAGCATTCAGAATCCTGAGTCCTTGCTATCACTCTCAAACTCTATATAACCCTGGAACATAATTTAAGCATTATTGCTGTTATTATTGGCAGCTTTAATCACGTTATTTACAAAAAAAACCCATACAAAATTATGCTTATTTTCAAAATAATGATGATTTAAATAAGTGGGAGAAAAAACGTGCAGGAATATTATTTTGGTACCACATACTTTTAAACATAAACCCCTAAATAAAAGATACTTTTTTGTAGAAGAGCAAATGTGAAGTGTCACTCGTTCTGAGACCTCTTCCTCTGTGAAATTCCACAGTCTCTTTCTATTCATAGACTTTTCCACAGCAAATATTAGCTGAAAGAAAAACACATCAATGCAAATTGAAAAAAAATAGTAAGAGTAGAAAACAATTATAATGTCACTATGCTTTAAAATGTAGCTTTAAAATTCCACGCTTCTACCATTCATTTTTTTTTTTTTTTTTTTTGAGACAAAGTCTTGCTATGTTAACTCAAGCAAGTTTTGAACTTCTGGGCTCAAGTGATCTTGCTGCCTCAGTCTCCTGAGTAGCTGAGACTATGAGCACATACCACCAAGTCCGGCTATTTTTTTTTTTTTTTTTAGAGTCAGAATCTTGCTATGTTGTGCAGGCTACAGTACTATGGCTATTTATAGGCCAATCACAGTGCACTGCAGCCTCGAATTTCTGGGCTAAAATTATCCTCCTGTCTCAGCCTCCAGAGTAGAAAGGCGTATACCACCACAAATTTTTCTTTTTTTCAAAATAAAGACTGAAACTCATCATTAAACTCATCATAAACATCATAAACATTAAACTCATCATAACATTTTAGATCCCATTTTTAGCGATTTACAAAAAAATTAGGTTTTAAATAGAACTGGATATGAAAAATTAATTTGGTGCAACTAGCATTTACATGAAATATAGAAGAGACTATTTTATTTAATTAGAATGAGAAAGACAAATGACTTTAACTATAAAAATGGAGCATGTAACCCATTTAGTGTTTCCTATTTAAATGTCAGAAAAGACTTAAGGTAACTCTAAGGACATATAAAATATAGTAATAATTTAAATGAAAAGTAAAAAAAATCAAAATAGTGACATAAATTTATGTCTGAAATAAGAATTTTAAAAATGCATACTTGATATAAGGGGTATTACACATTTGGCTCTAAGCTTTCTAACAACATGCATAGAGACATCTAATTTGTAACATAATTCAGATGATCCATAAACTGAAAACAAATAATTGATCAGAAGAAGCACAACTTTCTTGATTGCCTGAAAAAAAATTTCTTCCAGACACACAATATTATATAATATAATAAACAACATTCTTAACGATAACTCTTACAGTTGCCGTTAACAAGTTTTATAAGGTTATTTCTTATAGTATCTCTCAATGCTGGCCAATAGAAACAAAGTTAGATCATTGAAATTGAACAATTTCAGAGATATAGCATTTCTAAAATTTTATCTGATTCTTAGGAACAAATAATACAAAAGCAAAAGGATGAAGAATCTGACTGTATCTCTATAGCACGGAGTCCACATTCACCCTATTCACAGTTCAGCTCCAACAATAAAAGGATGCACAATCAATGCTATTAATATTAAATACATACAGATTTAGATTAAATTGCGAAGTGCCAAAGAGGATAAACAACTGCGAATGAGGTAAATTTATTTAAAATGAAAAAATTGGCAGAAGATTGAACAACTAGCCAGGGAGGAGAATATCTCCATTTTCTTCTCTTAATCCCTCAGTGCAAATATCAAAGGCTTAGGTGGGACATCTGCTAGAAGTTACAAAACTGGAAGAAACTGTAGAATCTGGGGTTACTAGCTGCACATTTTTTATGTAAAAATAGTTTGCAGCGATTCTGTGAGGTTTTGTGCTTCTCAAGATTATGAGACTCCTTTTTCTTGGGGTGTGAAATTCCCTTTCAGAAGTTCATTTGGATCTTAAATAGTAAAAGAGATGAAAACTGGCTATATAGAGTTTGCCTTAGGTTTGGGTTTAAAGAAAAATACCTTGTGGACCTTTGTATTTATTTTTAGACTATGTTAACCAATTCTCTGATATAGCAATAAAGCAAAAGATACAGTGGATTCAGGATAGATCCTCTGTCCAGGAATAAAAAATAAATATTTGATTGTTGTTTCTTTATCTTTTACTTTCAAACTCTTAAGAGAATGGAACAGAAGGTGAAGAATCTCAGCACCTATTAATTTTACATACTAGCAATCACTCGTTACTAAATGTAAGATCTAGAAGAATACTGCTATTGCACAAGAAAAACTGTTAAAGCATTGTAACTTGTTTAATAATAGTTAGAAATTATCTTTAAAATAAAGACAGCTCTGATTGCAAATATAAATATTTACATTTATTACACTTAAGATATCTAAGCAATTGGGTGGAAAAAGCTGTTTCAACATAATCCCAGCATAAAGGATATGGAACATGAACCTAAATATGCCTAGGATCATTATTATATATACTCATAGTCAATGAAAATAGCATGTAACTCTGATCTTATTAAATATATCGGACTTACTCTGCGCATGGCATTTTGAAAATCATTTGCCAGTTCTAGAGTAGTAATAATGAATACTCCAAGAACCAAAAGTCCCCCCGGTAGCATTCTGGATACCTAAAAATAGAAATAAAGTATTAGCTGATAAATGCATCTGGCATTATATGCATTCTTTTCTGCTGGAGAAACTAAATATCTTCCTAGAGTGCCCTTAGATTTTTAACTTAAAACTACTTTACAAATAAAATCATCTGATAACAACATCCTTTAGCTATATCAATAAATAAACCCCTTTCTCATAAGAACAAAGACTAACACACCTTCTAAAATTTTTTCAATGGGTTCCCACTACCAGCTAAATAAAATACAAGTCTTATCTTAGACTGGTATATCAGACCTTCTAGAATCTGGTCAATCTGACATTCACAGCCTCATTTGACACTACTTTCTCTGAAATAATTAAAGTATCAGCCAAAAGCTACTCAATGTTATCCACGCATATCCCTATTTAACTGTATGCTTTTACTCAGGCTGTTTCCTAGGCCTGAACTGACTTTTTCTTGTATTTTTACACATCTGACCTCTACTGGATACTTCAAAGTCAGCTTGAGGAAGCTGCCATCCCTGATCCTTTGATCTCTGAGCTCCCATAGGACTTCGGTGTAGTTTTCCCATGGACCTTATACACATCCTTGTATTTTTACAGATGGCTCTTTTTCTACCGTCTATACTCAGAGAGCATAGTGCTCTGGTTCACTTTTGTTTACTTAATGTATAAGCAAACAATCACAAAGTTTAGTCTTAGAAAATTAGACACCAGAGTCTAATCCCTAATGTATTTTATTTGCATTATGTCTGCTTGTGGTTCCCTATGATTTTATAAATTCTATTTACTATAGTAGCACAAATTTGACAAGATTTTCATATTTAGCACAGGGAACCTGTATATCTTTTCAAAATCACCAACACATAAAATCATTTCTTTCTAGAAGGAAAGAGATTAATCTAAGTTACTATATAAATTCATTTATTCTTTCTGTGTGTGTATATGTATGTGTATATATACAATATAACTTTTTATAGGAGACAAAAAGCAAAATTAAAATAGGAAGTTATTTACAAGCCACTGGGAATTTAACTTTAAAATATTTAATATTTACTTTAGAAGATAGTTGCTATAGTTTGTATGTTTGTCTCCCTAAACATCATGTTGAAATTTGATCCCCAATGTTGGATCAAACACAGAATAATAGGTGTTTGGGTCATGCAGATGGATCCCTCATGAATAGATTAATGCCCTCCCTTAGGGAGGGGGAAAAGTGAGTTCTCACTCTTATTAGTTCCTGTATGAAAGTTGGTTGGTAAAAAAGAGCCTGGCACCTCTCTTCCCTGGCTCTTGCTTCTCTCACCATCTGATCGCTGCACATGCTGCCATAGTGGAAGCAGGCTGAGGCTTTGACCAGATGCCCAATCTTCCAGCCAGCAGAATCAAAACCCAAATTAATCTTCTGTTCTTTATAAACTACCCAGTATCAGGTATTCCTTTATAGCAACAGAAAGACAATAATATTAAATATTTCTTGGATTTTTTATAACTATATACTGCCCCCATCATAAACACAAATACATGTCTATGTGTATACACACAGAAACACGTTTGTGTACTTAAAAGATTTAATTGGAGAAAGAAATAATTGTATGTTTATCTTATTCTAACATTATTTATTATTTATTGAATGATAGAATTCATTCAATAAATACTTTTAAGTGGATTAATTTATTCATCATTCCATCTCACCCACTCTAAATTTGTTTCCTCCTTATATAATGGCAACACTATCCTGCTAGACACCTAGGCTAAAAATCTCATTCATCTTTAGATAGTCTTTCCCTATGTCTCTTTACTCCCAATCTACTTGATCACTAAATCTTCTTCATTATAGCTCATTCTTAACAATGAAATTCTAGCCCAATGTATTAGTTTTATTCATGCATTCATTTATCCAGTATTTGGAGTTCCCATTATAAACCACGGACATACTGTGCTGGGCACTCAGGAAATAGCTATACACAAAACAGATGTGACTCTTGACCTCACAAAGTTCACAGTCTAGATTAGGCTCACATCATCCTCTTTTGGACCATCATTGTAACTATATGTTTTTTGCTGTCTCCAGTCTGCCTACCCGCCATTTACACTGTACCAAGATATCAAAGTTATATTCTAAATTATTGGCAAATCATTCACCTTAACCTTCTCAAAATAAGAAGCTCTGAAAGTCTACCATGGTGCTAGGACTACATTCAAGAACCATCCATAAACTGGCTTCTTCTAGTCTTACCTCTAATTACATTCTTCTATATACCCTGTATTTCAACTATACCCAGTTGCTTGCTATTCTCCTAACATCTTTTACTTTCGTGACTTTGTGTCATTTATCCATACTGTCCTTGGATACTACATGTTCCCTGACTACTTTCATGGCAAAGTCCTACTCATTCTTCAAGTTCAGAGGCTTCTATGAAGCTATTTTGAATATAACCATTGGCAGTTATTTAACCATTCCTTTTTACATTCCTATAGTACTTTTCCACTTTTTCATTTTTTATAGTTGGTATTATTAATAATGTGTTTCTCTTTGGTTAAAATATAAATTCTCTAAGGGCATTTAAAAAGAATAATCTTTTTATTTCCTCAGTGCCTAGCATTAATCCTTTAAACAATCTGACCATCAACAATATTACCACTAATTAGTATTATTTTAAAGTAAAAAAAAAAAAAAAAACTAGAAACATGCTAAATGACCAATAACAGGAGGAGATAGGTTAAAAAATTTCATAAACTAACACAATGAACAAATGTTAACAATGGAAAAGCATAGCATTTAAGAGCAAAGTTACACTGTCTGGGTTAAAATCCCAGTTCTACCACTTAATTGCTATGTAATCTTGAGTTACTTAACTTCAAGCAAGAAAATGTATTTTTAAAATTAGACACAGGTAAATCAATAAATAGAAAATATAATCATGGATGAAGCAGAGTAGAAAATACTTCTACTTCTGGTATACTCTACAAGTTTTGAAAACTTAAGAATGAGTATTCTTAAACCCTAGTCGAGTTACCTGAGAAGAAAGTGCTTATTTTTTTGTTGTTGTTAGTCAAATAAACACAAACTTAACTACATGAAGAGACAAATAAGATGACCTGGTTAGCATGTTCTGTGGCCCATTCTTCATCCAAGTTATCCAACTTAGCTTTGGGATGTTTGAGGTTCTCATTTAGTTCCTCTTTGGGTGGTGTTCTAGTGGCAAGAATCACATAATCCTTTTGTGAAGAACACTTCAAAAACAAATTATAGAAGCTTATTAGAGTGATACCTGATTGAGGAACAGATGTCTTAGCTCTTATAACATACAAACTGAGTTATATCTGTAGCAGGTTAAGCTGCTAATATTCACAATATTAATAGCTTCTGCAGGGAAACTAATTTCCAAGGACAGCCTTACACGTTGTATGTATGTATGTATGTATTGATTGATTGATTGACTGAGACAGAGCCTCACTTTGTTGCCCAGGCTAGAGTGAGTGCCATGGCATCAGCCTAGCTCACAGCAACCTCAATCTCCTGGGCTCAAGTGATCCTATTGCCTCAGCCTCCCGAGTAGCTGGGACTACAAGCATGCACACCATGCCTGGCTAATTTTTTTGTATATATATTTTTAGTTGGTCAATTAATTTCTTTCTATTTTTATTAGAGACAGGGTCTCACTCTTGCTCAGGCTGGTCTCAAACTCCTGACCTCAAGTGATCCGCCTGCCTTGGCCTCCCAGAGTGCTAGGATTACAGGCGTGAGCCACCATGCCCAGCCTACCTTTTAACGTATTTAATATCAGCTTCTTATTTATTTGGACATCCCAAATATGAATCAGACAGTGGTCCTTAAAAATGGTTTACTGGATGAGTGAATGAACTACATTAACTAAAAGGTATATGCTTAGTCAGTTTTCTAGCTATTATAATTATTTTCTAAATCTAAATATAAATTATAATTAATTCCTAAATAATTTGAACAGATTGGATGTTTATAAAATATCAGTAAAATAAAGCAACAAATGACCTTGTGTACCTTACTTTAAGTGAAATGATGATAATGGGACATTATCATATTGCACATATGTGTCCACCAAAAAATAAAGGGGATTTGGGACACATATTATAATTTAGAGTGATACCTGATCCTATTTTTAATACCTTCAGTTTTAATAGCAATTAAATGGTAATCAAAGGTGGAAGATCTAAAGATAAACTTAGGGACTATTTAAAAGCTCAGTTTCACTACAGTGAAAGTTTCCTATAAAAACAATGAAAATAAGGATAATAATGCAAGTTAGCATGGTGTAATCCTCATACATGACCTGAAACTCCCATCATTAGTATCATCTTGGGATAGAAAATAAAGAAAGAGTAATTATTCCTACAAAAGTTATTTCCAGAAAGCTACATTCAAATGTGCACACAGGAAAAGAAGGTAGATTCCGATTAAGAAGGCTTCTTTTTTTCATAAAATGTATAACTTTGAAAAGCTAAAGAAACTGACACCAAGAGTAGGAAACAGGCAAGCTTGAGGGGAAGGAGAGAAAGGCGATAAACTCTGGAATAAAAAAGAAGAAAAAAGCATGCAGAATACTGAAAGAAATGAAAAGACAGCATGAAGACAGACTGGAAGGAAGGCCCTAAAATGTGAGAGACTTATTTATAAGACGGTAGTTTTGCTGAGCTCTAGAAATAGCCTATATCCAGTAAGACAAGTTTGAAAGATGTTTTTCCCTGAACTTTTATCTCCACTGATCACATCTCTAAGACTTTTCTTCCCTTAAATTTTGAAAATAAAGGAAGGGAAAAAACTTTAAATAAAAAGTTGCTAACAAAAAGAGCCCCAGGCTAGATATCAAGTAACCTGAATCAAAAGTTCACATGATTGCCAAGACAGACAATCAGGCTGTCTAACGATAGGTCTCACAGGGTAGTAGTACCTGGGTGAACAGTATAGATTTGCCCTCTGTCTTGCAAACTAAGAAATCTGATTTGTAAAAATTCTGAAAATGAACCTGTCTTTCAGGACTAGGCTGACATTAGCTAAGCTCATTCAGAATGACAGAGAAAACTGGAATGTTGTGAAGGAATCTAAACAGGAGTCCTCTGTGTAGTGCATTCTTGATAAGCAGATAACACAGGGCATCAAATTAAAAAAGAAAGTAGCCTGGGAATATGGATAGATTCAGAATAAGGAAAATTAATTATGCAACTTGAAGATTCTAAGACATCAGGCAAAGATATTCAGAAAGAAAATTGTCACAGTGAGAGCTTTATTTGCTACTAGGCTTCAAAATCAACTCCTTGGGTCACAGCGCATTCTCCCCTTAGTGTTTGGACAGATGTAGCCAGTTTGCTTGTGAGACTCTCTCTTTTTTTTTTTTTTTTTTTTTGCTTTCTACAGCTGACCAGTTCTTCCTGCTGATTGGCACATTCTTCTTTCAATTATAATAAACCAGTAGCTGCTTATGCTTTTTTCTAGGTGTTCAAATCTCTGTTCCATTTTATGTATTTTCAAGACTGAACTCTATGAGGAAAATAGAATTTGTCTAATTTCCAAATTTCCCCTAATCCCTTTCTCTCCTACTTTCTAATGAACCAACTTAAAAAAAAAAATTCAATAATAATGGGTACTACAGCATCTAACAAAAATATGACGACCACTCTTGTCACAAGTCTGAAATAAGACAAATTAGAATGGGAAAAAAATTATCAAAAGTTTCTTTCATAAAGAATTAGATAACCAGGATTTAATAAAGATTAGAAGAGAGTAAAAATACTTAGGAAAGACAACAAAATGTAAATCATCTGGTCAATAAAAACTCTAATTCTAGAGTTTCTACATTATAAATTACTTCTACATGGTCAAAAGGGAATGTGTTCTGACTTGAGCAAACCTGGGCTAGGTTTGTCCTTCTTCTCCATATATTGCCTCAATAATTCACTTTAAATTTGACATTTTCTACATCCCATCCTTATATCTCCCAACCTTGAGTTTATTGTTAAATAGCAACCTTTAATTTTAAATAAACAGGTCATTTGTTTTATCAATAAATTCAGAATAAAAGATACATACCTGTCCTATTAAAAGGCCAGAGACAAAAGCCTTTCCTTGGAGATTGATGTTTGAAAGATACTGGCCAACAGTCTCTTCCACAATGTAGGTTCTTCCCATTATTGAGAACTAATTCAATCTCCTAAATTATAAGAAAAAAAGATATAGCATTTTTAGGTTAAATATAATTTATAATTTTTTTTTATCATGGGGATAGTATAGTGAGAGAAGTGGTACTGTCCTGATACTACCCCATGCCTTGCAGTGATTGCTTATTAAATAGAGTATTCTTTCTTGCAAAGTTCAAATATAGAATTCTTTTCAACACAGTGCTTCAGCAAACAACTACCAATCAAGCACAGCTGACAAAAAAGATCAAACCTATTGCTCGTATCTGGTAGAGGGAAAGGAGACTAAACTTGAAGTTGTCAACACACCTGATTTCTTATTTTATATCTTCTCCTTAGTTGCATTTTCTTTGATAATCTATTGCTAAGCTTCAGTGTTCTCATTTCTAAAATAGAAAAGATGGATTTCTGAATAGTTCATTGAGAGGGAAAAGAATCAAATTCATTTACTCAATAAGCATATACTGAAGAACTATTTGCTAGAAATTGTGTCAGGTGGGATAACACAAAGATGAGTAACACCTGATCTTTCCCTTGAACAACACACAATACAATAAGTTATGCAAACAGATAAATAAAAATGCAATAACAACATTTCTATAGCTTCTGTTTTGTACAAGACATTATTCTAAGCACTTTACCTGTAACATTTAATAGTCACAAAAACACCATGAGGTAGGTACTATTACTGTAATCTTCATTTTTATAGATGAAGAAAATGAAATGAGAAAGATTAAATAACTTGCCCAGTGACAAAGCTAATAAGTGGCAAAGATGAGATTTAAACTCAGAGAGTCTGGCTCTAAAATCCATGTTCTTTAATACCACATTCATACTGAGGAATCATGACCAGTCTCTCAATTAAATCATTACTAAGGATAGTTTCTATTCTGCTCTGTCTCCAGTTTGTGGATAGAAACCAGTATATTCATTCCCCCTACCAGCTTATGCTCCTCTGATTTGAGTTTCTGTAGCTTAAAACCAAAGATACTGAATAAAAGAGTTAGTCAATAATGAATAATCAAAGAGCTCACATTCAGTGCAGAAGATGAAAATGTACAGAGATGATATTCAAAAAGCCTATGAAATAGATATAAACAGAGACTGTGGGAACACAGTTGCAGCATTTTCAATACTGCAACTTAGAAATACTTAATGATAGTCATTTGGGTTCTGTAAAAAATTTGAATCTTATTCAATACCACTGAGTTAAGGCTACAGATACGCTGGTATGGTATATCTGACATCAGTAAAGTAAACTCCAGTCACAAGGTGGTTTTGCATTACTCTAAAACTAAAGCTCAGAAAATGTGTTCAAGTTTGAAATGACCTATTGGATGCTGTTTTGCTACTATTTCAAAAAGCCTGTTCAGTTTTGTCTCAAAATGAGACATTAATTTCTTCCTGTCTCTTTTCTGACAACAGTGGAAAGTGAATCAGGTTTGAATACCATTTTTTAAAGACTAAGTCTAGAACTCCCTGTGCAAATCATTGATGCCTCTAGTTAAGGGCTGTCAGCTTTTAGTAATGCCTTAAGGTAGTGCTCCTCAACCTTTTTGGCACCAAGGAAAGACAATTTTTTCATGGAAGACAATTTTTCCATGGATGGGGAAGGGGAGATAGTTTCAGAATGATACAAGTGCATTACATTTATTGTGTACTTCATTTCTATTATTATTACATTGTCACTTGCCACTCACTGATAGAGTTTTAATATGAGTCTGCAAGCAATTGATTTATTATGGTCTCTGTGCAGTCTAACCTCTCTGCTAAATATAATCTGTATTTGCAGCTGCTCCCCAGCACTAGCATCACTTCCTCAGCTTCACCTCAGATCATCAGGCATTAGATACTTATAATGAGCATGCAACTTAGACCCCTCACATGCACAGTTTACAGCAGGGTTCCCACTCCTATGAGAATCTGCTGCTGCCACTGATCTGACAGGAGGCAGAACTCAGTGATGCAAGCGATAGGGAGCAGCAGTTAAATACAGATGAAACTTCGCTAGCTAGCCCACTGCTCACCTCATGCAGTGTGGCCCATTCCTAACAGGCCAGGGACCCTTTCAGTCCTCCGCCTGGGGATGGGAACCACAGCCTTAAGATATGCATTTCTATGTATTTACTTTATCGTGTTATTCCATTCCTTTTCTTTCTGCCCTAATAATTCCTGATTCTTGCAAGAAATAACAAGCAACTTCAAAGTTATATTTAACCTTCTAATCTTATTTCTCCCAGTATCACCTACTGGCCATATTAATATGTAAAAAATTGAATGCAATAGGGAGATGAAAACCTATTCGATTATGAAACCTGGATGAATGTCAGATAAATTTTTCTTTAGAGCTCTTTCAAAATTTTTAAAAGTGGTCAACCATATTTTATAAAAGGCACTACTAAAAATGTATACAGTCAGCTCTCTGTATCTGTGTTTCTGTATCTGTGGATTCAACCAACCCTGGACTCAAAACTACTCAGAAAAAAAATGATGGTTGCATCTGTGCTGAACATGTATAGACTTTTTTCATGTCATTATTCCCTAAATAATATGGTATAACAACTATTTACATAGTATTTACATTCTATTAAGTATATATAGAGATGATTTAAAGAATACAGGAGCATGAGTGTAGGTTATATGCAAATACTGCACCATTTAATATAAGGGACTGGAGCATCCACAGGTTTTGGTATCCATGGGAGATCCTGGAACCAAGCCCTTACCAACACCAAGGGACCTGTATCCTGCCTTACACGGTTATAATTTTCCTAAAATGTTGTGCATCAGCCAAAGTTTTTTGTTTTCAAAGCACTGTGACCTAAGACAACTCAACCTCCCTGGACTCTGGTTTCCTAATCTACTAACTAAAGAATTTGGATCCTTGCAGATCTGAAAACCTATCTAATTTTAGCATTCTGTGACTCTAAGTACAGACTATCTGCACTTCCCAAATGACAGATCAACAGTATGATAATACTGTGAGCCTAGGACACAGCACAGTACTTCACATTCCAGCAACCTTAAAGTGTTTATTTATAAAATATTTTTGAAAGAAAAAATCAACCTTAAGCTCCTTACTGATTTACTTTCCTTATCACAAAATATCATAAGATGCTTCTGTTTATATTTCTTAGATGGCTTCAGAGCTACAGATTCAAAAGTATGAACTAGAGAAAAAGAAGAATAAATTTCACGTGAGAACTAAATTACCAATTCGCAGAAGGCCCACGACTGTGGAAACTGCAGAGAGGACATTAGGAATGCTTGATTCAAAATAAATTCTTTCAGAAAAGTAACCAAACATGAAGCAATAACACATTGAACTTAAAAGTTACAGAATTATGATCTGGAAACAAGTAGTTTTGTTATAGTGGCAGGGTGGGAAGTGGCTTTTAAGAATGGGTTTAAAAACTTTAGTTACAACGGTTTTCAAGTTTAAAAACCTCAGCATGGTGTTAGGTAACATTTCTGCAATGAAACATTAAAACACAGGCTACATTCAAACTCCTGGTTTCTTTTAACCCTCTTCCTGAAAAATTAACCGAGCTACTTAAATTCCTTTTAAATCACTCAGTATCCTTCTCCACCCCACGTCCCAAAGGCCGTTTCACAGAAGGTAAATTCGTCAAAGGTGTGTGCCAGAGTGACGGTCCATGTTTTCTACACTCTGTCCCTTTCTTTCTCCCTTGAAAAGGGAGCTCTGCGTCACAGAGTGCACATACACACGTATTACATCCTTAGGCTGTCTTACCTGCTTTCAGAGTGTGCACTCGTGGCAGAAAAATCCGTCAAACTGTCCTCTGGAGATGGAGGGTCACGGTGCAAGTCCTAGCCTCTAGGAGCTAGACTACCCTCTGGTCCCAATCCCACAGCCAATGAATTCATCAGAAAGCGACCGACTTCCCACACCTCACTTCCCACTGCAACACAGGGTCTCGGGATCGGGTGGCGCAGATTGATGACGCAACCTGCCCACCCTCCCTTCTCTGCAGAGCCACAGCCAAAGCGACTGCGGTCGCCACCCCGCCCCCTTCCGGGCGCCATTGAGAGCGTGGCGGTAGCCCAGGGCCTGCCGTCCAGCCCTGCCGGGACCGATGCCCTCTAGTGGCTCAGTGTCCAGAAGCCGCCAAAGAGGACGACCCATGGCATCCCGGGGCTTTGACGGTAAGGACGCCCTGCTCCTCGAGAAGGGACGCGGGTTGACGAGTAGGTGGTGGCGCCACCGCGCGGACAGTAGTCACGCGGCTGAGCGAGGAGGGCCGGGGGCGGGGAGCAGGGAGGAGGCGCGGTGGGCGGCGAGGACCGGGTTTACGGAAGGGAAGGAGGAAAGCACTACGTTTCCCAGAGCGCTGCGAGGCCCGGAGTGGGTGGAGCGGGCGCCGGAAGCTGGGGCGCGCGGCGGAGCCGGGGCAGCCTGTGGACTCGGCTTCCCAGCGCGCTCGGCTCCCGGCGGCTGCGCGCGCGGCGGGCGCGGGCGGGGCGGGCTGCTGGTGCGGGCGCTGAGGCGGGACTCGGTTTCCCAGGGTACCGCCGCGGGAGTCTCCGGCGGGCCGGCGCGCGCGAGCCACCGAGCGAGGCGGCCGACGCGGCGGCCCAGGCTTCTGGGTCCTCCTGGTCTTCGCCTTTCTTCACGGCTTCTACCCCGTCGGCCGCTGCCACCGTGGGCCCCGGCCCGACCGACATGGCGGCGGTGTTGCAGCAGGTCCTGGAGCGCACGGAGCTCAATAAGCTGCCCAAGTCCGTCCAGAACAAACTTGAGAAGTTCCTCGCTGATCAGCAGTCCGAGATCGATGGCCTGAAGGGCCGGCACGAGAAATTTAAGGTGGAGAGCGGTAAGTGAGCCGGCCTTCCCGCCCTTGGTTTCGGGCTTGTCTCCGTGGCTGTGTCTGGGCTCATTACCCCTTGCAAGCTCGCACTCCGAGTAGCACCACTTCCTGGACTCCTCTGGCATGCAGGGCCTTCTCTTTTCCGCTCCCCGCAGTTTGATAAGAAGAAACCTTTTTACAGAAAGTTAGAATCCATGTTGGTTTCAGTTTTCTTTGTAAGTGGGGTGATCTCATATAGGAATGCTTAACTTTGTCCAACAAACAAGAGTTTGGGTCTTTTTACACCGGACTTGGGAAAGTCTGCGAGCCCTTGCTCTCTAAGCCTGGAGTACCTTATCTGCAAGCATAGTTAACACTTTAAATGATAATGATTTCCACCCTGTTTCCTTGTCACCTGCATCCGTAGGCCTTTGCCTAATTGACCACTTTGTGCACTTGTTCATAGTTTGTCGGCCTGCGATCCTGTAACGAATTAGATATTGACAAAAATGAACATTAAATACATAAGACAGCGTTGGAAACACAGTGAATGTGCAGTAAATAGGTTTACTATATCGATTTTTCTCTAAAAATTGGAATTTGATAGCAAATATATAAAATCTGCTTATAATTAGCTAAAGTAGGCCTTCAAATAAGAAAGTTATCAATAATAGTGGCTTGAACATCCTTGGAAAAAGATTAAGACTGTAGTAATTACCATAGCAAAATACAAACTTCCTCTTGTGTTTTGGTTTACCATTTGCTTGGGGGAATTGATAACTGTTTTCTGCTAAGTTGACAGGAAACAATAAATTTTCACTTTGAAAAAGTGTAATTATCAAGCAGAATTGATCGTGAAAATTAGTTCTGTGAATTCCACAGCTAAATATAGAACACTGTATTCTACTCATTAATTTACATACAAAATATTTAGTGTCTTCTGTGTACCTGATACTGTGCTGAACAAGACAGACTTAATCCCTACCCTTGAGAAGTTCACACACTTTTACATAAATTCAGTCATTTTACACTTTCAGATATTATTTTGGCTACTTTAAAATAAGCCTTTTTTCCCCTCCGTTTAATAAATACTTATTTTCAGTCTGCTTAATGCTGAGTCGTCTACTGATGTCTGAAGTAATACTAAGATAAATAAGACATGTTACCTGACTTGAAAAAATTCATTTGTAAAACCTCTTTTAGACCTCTTCTCTTTTGTCATTTAGTCATATGGAAGTGCTCATTGGAAGATAAGTCCTTCTCAGTGTTTAACCTAATTATCTTTACTCAGATTCTTTTACTGGGAGTGCAATTCCAATACCGTATCTTAAATTTTAAAATCAAAGTTATTAGAAATAAATAGCAGTATTGACAGTGCATGTACATGTGTGTTTTAGTTTATTTTTATTAGAATTTTTTTTTTTTTTGCTTGTCTTCTTAGAACAACAGTACTTTGAGATAGAAAAGAGACTATCCCACAGTCAGGAGAGACTTGTGAATGAAACCCGAGAATGCCAAAGCTTACGACTCGAGCTAGAGAAACTCAGTAAGTATTTAATGACTTTTTTATAAGTATTCTTGGAGTGTTGAGATTTTCATACACTTTTGTGTATGCTTTGGAAGCATTTAGTTACTATATATGAAAATACTGATTAAGCATCGTTTTTGTTAATGGTAATATTTTGAATTTTTCACTCCGTGATAAAGACTTAGTAAGAACACATGGCTTAATGATCAGGAGGCATGGGTTCTAATTCTGCCTTGGCTATTTTTTTTTTCTTTTTTTTTTTTTTTGAAACAGAGTTTCACTTTTGTTGCCCAGGCTAGAGTGAGTGCGGTAGCATCAGCCTAGCTCACAGCAACCTCAAACTCCTGGGCGCAAGCGATCCTCCTGCCTCAGCCTCCCAAGTAGCTGGGACTACAGGCATGCACCACCATGCCCGGCTGATTTTTTGTATATATACTTTTAGTTGCTCGATTAATTTCTTTCTATTTTTAGTAGAGACGGGGTCTCGCTCAGGCTGGTTTCCAACTCCCGACCTTGAGCAATTCGCCCGCCTCGGCCTCCCAGAGTGCTAGGATTACAGGCGTGAGCCACCGCACCCGGCCTGCCTCGTCTATTAAAAGAAGTTTTGCAATGTGTAAATCAGAACATATCTGATTGTTTACAATATGGTTAGACTCAAATGTCCATCTACTTAAACAGCTTTATATATCAAATGATATTTTTGAAAGCCTTTTGAAGAGACTGAAGCATTGTGCTACTGAAGAAGTAATTTAAAGAGAGTGACTTAATTATTTTATGGCAAAGAATTAAAGCCTATTGATTTCATTTATGTGTTAACTCTCTTTATTCTGTTTTAAATTTTATAAGTATCTATGAATCTTAGGATATTTCATCTTTAAGGTCTAGTTCCTGAGACAGGTGGATAACTAATTTCTGTCTTAGATTTTTCTACATCATTTATTCTTTGATACTACACAAGATCTTAAAGATCCTGACATTTCTTAGGAGAATGATGTATCTTGTGCTTTACTTGTGATTAAAGAAAGCTAACATCAGGAACAATCTTATAGACTAAGGGCATAATTCATTGATATTAAACATACCCCAATTTTAATTTGATTGATGGAGAAGGAACACAGGAAGCTCACAATCAAAGGAATGATTAAAATTTTCAACTTTCTCTCTTTCTGGGTCCATGCCCATCAGCTATTTGGTTTATAAGTTTTTTCAGCTACTTTTGGGGCCACCATTTTTAAACCGCAACATATATGAGTGATGGTATGTATACGTGTGTGATGGAGCATAAATAGTTAGATCTGGTTTGTTATTTATGTAGTTATCCCTTGACATAGTAAAAAGATCTGTTCACCAGTGGTGCTGAGTAATTTCAGAAAAATAGCTATATGATTACAACTACTTTCATGGGATCTAGGAGAGGGAGAAGATAGGGCTAACCCTAGACAAACATCAAATACCTTCCTGGGATATACAATTAATGTGTTTGTTTTTTTTTTAATATTCTAGATCTGTAAGTCTGGAAAGCAGTAAATCACATTAAAACAAAATAGAAGATCTAGACTCATTTAGCAAGAATATTTTTTCTTTTAATGATCCTCTTAAATATAAGATTGGAATTAGTTGTAATGTATTTGCTCATTAAATTACCAGCCCATAAGATACATGAATTTTAGTGAAAGTTTCAAAAAGTATATTCTTTCTAGTTATTTGTATGTGTTTAAAAGAGAAACTATGTATAAAGCAAGATAGCCCATATTGAGTGGAAATTGAGGGATTGATAATTGAGTAACAAGCATACTTTTTGCCTCCATGTTAAAGACTGTTTAAAGTTATAAACAAGTGGAATTGCAAATATCCATTACTGTGATTTGTCACATGTACATTTTATGTAGCTTAAATGTTATTTTCTTTCTTAATCCTGTCTTTTTCATTTTTCTTATTTCTAAGTACAATCCATTGTTTCTTATGATACATGGTGATTTAGAAGATATTGAAAAATAAGGAAATTGCATATACTTTTTTCTATAAATGTTGGCTAGAATTCTTACAGTTGATTTTGGAGACAGGATAGCATATTTGAAATTTTGGTCTGGAGTACAGTTTGGAATGTCTTCATAACTTTGAAATGTGATGTACAATTGAGTCTTTCAGGGCTTCGGTTTCCCTCGTTCATAAAATGTGTAAGGGTGACAGTTGATAAAAACACTCATTGCAAGTTTTAAGCTAACATGTATATGTTTAAAAAATTCATTTTATCCAGACAGTCAGCTGAAGGGATTAACTGAGAAAAACAAGGAACTCGAAATTGCTCAAGATCGCAATATTGCCATTCAGGTAAAAGTTACTCCTATAAATAAAGCTAATTGTAAACATAATGCTTGAGGATATTTTCTATTCTGATTTGTTTATCAGTTATTTGTCAATGGGAAGATGAAACAGACACCCTATTAGGAGAAGCTACCAACAAAAACTTGTATAATATACATAAATTCCTTAATTATATCTTTATATGTTTTATTGATAGATTGGATATTCCTTTTACTCAGTAGAAACTGTCTAGTGAATGCTTACTATAATTAAGGCATTATTTCAAGTATTGTGATATAGTTGGGGATTTGAGCAAATCCATATTGGTAATCATTTCTTGGGGCAATGATAACAATAAAAAATTGAATATGATCATAAGGACTGCTGACCATTTTTTAAATAAAGTCATACCTGGTGATTCTTTAACCAGGTAGGACTTTAAATTCTTGCCAATACATTTGTAAAATTTTAATTTGACTTGGGGTTAAAAGATAATTTCTTTAGATCTCTAAAAGAAAGAAAAAATTTTCTACTTCCAGAATGTTAATAAGAGCAAAAAAGCCCCATAATATACCTAGAAATAAGTACAAAAATGTAAAGTATCTATATCAGAAAAAAACCTCAAATTCTTTACTGAAAACTGTACAAATACACCTTTATAAATGGAGATATAGCATTTCTCAGGATGAGAAGATTTTCTATAATAAATTAATGTGTGTTGGTTATCTCCAAGTGAGATACATTGAAACTTGTTAATGGAGGGGTAAAGGTGATCGAGGGGAAAAAATGTTATGGCTAGGATAATTCTGAAAAAGAAGTATCAACTTAAAAGTACTTGCATTGTTACATATTAAAATGTTTTTATAAAGCTATGGTTATTAAAATATTGCAATGCTGATAGAAGAATCAACATAGAGAATAGAAAACAGTGTAGAAGTAAAAACCAATACAGAGGATCTTAACCTTTTGAGGAGGGGAGTTGTCACAAAATCTTTATAAATCTGGTAAAAGCTGTGAATGTACAGCCTAGGAAAACAGTATTCACAGAAACTTTTGAAGAAAAAAACTACGAGGCAACTTAAAAGGAATAGAATTTATTAAACGTCTGAAAAAAGAAACTGAAAGCTTTTCTTCTAAGATACAGTATAAGGCAGGAAAGCCCACTCTGACCACTTTTATTCAATATGGTATTGGAAGTACCAGCAAGAGCAGTCAGACAAGAAAAAGAAATATAAGGCATCCAAATTGCAAAGGAAAAAATAAACTTATTTTATTTTATTTCTCTAGTTACAGATGACAAGATCCTATATGTAGAAAACTCAAAGATTCCGAAAAAAGAACTGTTAGAACTAATAAATGATGAATACAGTACATTTGCAGGATACTAATTCAGCATTCAAATATCAGTAGCATTTCTATACACAAATAATGACCTTGTTGAAAAAGAAACCAAGAAAATAATTTTTTTATGACAGCAATAAAAAAATAAAATACTTAGGAATAAATTTAACCAAGGAAGTGAAAGATTTGTACACTTAAAACTGTAAAACATTGATGAAACAAATTGAAGATGCCAGTAAATGGAAAGGTATCCCATGTTCGTGGATCAGAAAAATTAATATTGTTAAAATGTTCATACTACCTAAAGCAATCCTGTTAAAATTCCATTGACATTCTTCATAGAAATAGGAAAAAATTAAAAAATTGTAAAATTCCTATGGAATCAACAAAAAAAACCTTGAATAACCACAAAGCAGCACTGACAAAGAAAATCAAAGTTAAAAGCATCACACTTCGTGATTTAAAATTATATTATAAAACTACAGTAATCCAAATAGTATGGGACTGGCATAAAAATAAAAACAGTCCAGTGGATTAGAGCCCAGAAATAACTCCAAACTTAAACAGTAAGCTAATTTTAACAAGGGCACCAAGAGGACATAATGGGGAAAGGATCATCTTTTCAATAAATCAGGTTAGGAAACTATATTTCCACACACAAAGGAATTAAATTGGACGCTTATTTTCTTCATACACAAAAATCAGCCAAAAATGAAAAACAATTAAGTGTAAGATTTGAAACCATAAGGGGAGGAAGACCTGGACATTGTCCTTGATAATGATTTTTTACCTATCACATCAGCAACTCAAGCTGTAAAAGTAAATAAATGGGACTACATCAAACTAAAAACCTTTTGCACAGCAAATGAGATAATCAACAAAATGAAAAGTCAACGTAAGAATAGGAGAAGATTTGCAAACCACATATTTAATGAGAGGTTAATATCCAAAATACAGAAAGAACATGTAGAACTCAATAGCAGGAAAAACTCTATTAGAAAATGGACAAAGGACCTGAACAGGCATATCTCCAAATAAGATATAAAAATTGTCAAGAGGTATATAAAAAGGGGCTTAGCATCACTAATCATCAGGGAAGTGCAAGTTAAAGCCACAAGGAGATAACATCACACCTTATTAGGATGGCTGTTAAAAAGAGATAAATGTTGCTGAGGATGTGGAGAAGAGGAAACCCTTGTACACTGTTGGTAGAAATTGGTAAATTGGTGCAACCGTTGTGGAAAACAGTATGGAAGGTCCTAAAAAAATTAAAGCTATCATGTGACCCAGCAGTCCCTCTTCTAGGTACATACCCAAAGCAGATGAAATTAGCGCCTCAAGATGCTTGCACTCTCATGTTCTTGCATCATTCTTCACAATAGCCAAGATAAGAAAACAGCCTAAGTATCTATTGATGGATAAATGGATAAAGAAAATGAGGGGGAATGTATATGTGGGTGTGTGTGTGTATACATGAAACAATCGTATATTATTCAGCCTTAAAAAAGGAGATCCTGCTAGGTGCTATAACATAGAAAGACCTGGAGAACATTATACTAAGTGAAATAAGCCAGACACAGAGAAATATTGCACAATCTCATATGTGGAATGTACAACAAGGTCAGGTATACAAAGAGAATAGTACAGTGGTTGGCAGCGAGGAATGGGAGGGATGTGAGTCAAAGGATATAAAGTAGCAAGTACATAGATAAACAAATCCAGAAATGATATGTACAACATGAGGACTGTAGTTAATAAAATTGTATTAGGGATTTTTGTTAAGTAGATTTTAGCTGCTCTTGCTCCAAAAAAAATAACTGAGGTGATAGATAATGTTAATTTGCTTCGCTATAGTTACCATCTTTCTATATGTATCTCATAACATCATGTTGTAAACCTTCAATATACACAATATAATTTATTTTAAAAAAACTTCTAAGCATAAAAACAGTATAAGAACTTACAATGGGAAAGAATGATAGACTCAATTTAGTAGAAATATAAAAATCTCTACATAAACTAAAATGCCAATGAACTATTAAAAAGTATTTTTTCAGTAAAAATATGATAGTGTTTATGTCCCTAATACATGACTACTTTCAAATTTTAAGGAAATCATTCAAGGGAGATAAGGGCAAAGGAAGTTTTTTTAAAAAAATCAAAGAGGAAGCTATATAAATGGCCAATGGCAGTATGAAATGTTTCTCTACTTGTAATCAGAAAAATGCAGATAAAACAACAATAAGGTAATTATTTTTCACACACCCCCATGTTAGCATTGATCTCTCTCTTTTTCTCACTCTTTGAATAATCATTTCTGTCATGGGTGGCTTGCGATTAGTACTTACAATTCAAAGAAAAGCACATAAACTGTCTTACTGCAAAGCAGTTTGACAAAATAAATATTATTTCAAGTAATTTCATTTCTAGGGATCTGTCTTAAGAAGTAATTTGAACTAAGATGTACAAATGCCATGATAGTCCTCAGACTGTATTTTGAAGGGAAAAAATTAGAAGTACATTAAATGTCCTATAAAGGCTTGTTTAAGCAATTAGGACACTTTTGTGTGATACAAAGGGACTTGGGAAAAATTGTTACGAGCCTAGCAAAAATGTTTTAAAAATCCAAAGTATGAATAGAAATGTTAACTAGTTTTAAACTTTTGGCTGTATAAATTATAAGAAAAAGGAAACCAATCATTTTTAATCTGCAGCTGACCTTAACTAGAGTGACAATTATGTGTTCCATTGCCTATATTGTTCAACTTGATTGTTTTAAATTTAAATTTATTCTTTATATGACAGAGCCAATTTACAAGAACAAAGGAAGAATTAGAAGCTGAGAAAAGAGACTTAATTAGAACCAATGAGAGACTGTCTCAAGAACTTGAATATTTAACAGGTATGAAGTGCTTTAGCTTTTAACTCCATTCTTTCCTTTTTTTCTTCGAATAGTGCTAGGAATTAATCCCCAGTATGTTTTTGCTGCTGACGTTTCTTGGGTGTGGCTCAGTATGGAGTTCAGTGTGATATCCTATTCTCTCACTTATCTTTAAAGCAGTATCAAGTGCTTAAAGAGGTGTCTAGAAAGTGCACAGGTGAAAAATATGTCAAAGAAGTAATAATTTGGACCGAGTTTTGCATGCAAAGGTTTTTACTCCAGTGCTGTTTATAATAACAAATTGGTAGCAGTTGAAATGTTCAGTGTAAAAGCTGAATTACTGTTCTTCATTTTATACGGACATCCTTGTTATCTGTAGCCATTCAATATAAGAAGCTGGAAGAAGAACCCGTGTTTAAAAACAGGCTGAAGGGAGTTTAGGAGGCAGAAATATAAAATATATTAAGATAGAATATAGTACATAGCACAGCTTATATATTCAGGTGAACTTGACTCTGAAGTAGTTAATGGTATGAAGGTTCCCTTTGGTCCTTTTTTTATGGTTTTTGAAAAGTTTTATTTCTATAAAATGAGAGAATTTTCAGATATTTATGTTGCTATACAATAATATTCAATTAGGTAAATATACTTTTCCAGTCTCAGAGGAGAGTTACTTCAGAGTATTTGTTGATTATGTTGATTAGCTAGCAGTACTTAAAATTAAAAGAATTATTTTCATAAAAACCTGGACATTTATGAAATATAAAAAACAAAAGGGCTGGGCACACTAGATCATGCCTGTAATCCCAGCACTTTGGGAGGCCAAGGCAGGAGGATCACTTGAGCTTAGAAATTTGAGACCAGCCTGAGCAACAGTTTAGCGAGACCCCATCACTACAAAAAGAGAATAAAAGTAATTAGCTGGTCATGGTGTCATGCTCCTATCATTCTAGCTACTAATACAGGAGGCTGAAGCAAGAGGATCACCCGAGCCTGCGAGTTGGAGATAGAGACCCTGTCTCCAAAAAAAGGAAATATATATATATATAAAATAAAAAAATGTATAGAACATGTATATTCTAACTCCATATTCTAACTAAACCTTAAATAGAAGGTTTTTTATTGTCATTGCTTTTTAACTTAACAAATGGCTGTTTATAAAATTTTAATAGATCTTTTGGTATGTATTAAGATCAGTAAGATTAATATTGAATATTTAGCTTAAGATACTGTGTTTAAAATAAAGAAACCCAGATAATTCATGTGTTTGATTGGAGGTACAAATTTTAATTCTTAATAATTTATTTGTTAAAATTATGTTTGTAATTGAGTATGGCAAAAACAAGTTAAAATAGAGAAATGGAGAACTACAGTTGACCTTTGAACAATGCAGGGGTTAGGGGCACTGACCCTTTCCTCCCCAGCCAGTCAAAAATCCATGTATAACTTGGCTTCCCCCAAAAATGACTAATAGCTGACTGTTGACCAGAAGCCTTACTGATAACATAAACAGTTGTTTAACACGTATTTTGTATGTGATATCTATTATACACTGTATTGTTACAAAAAAGTAAGCTAGAAAAGAGAAAATGTTACTAAGAAAATCACAAGGAAGAGAATATTCACTGTTCATTAAGTGGAGATGGATCATCATAAAGGTCTTTGTCTTCGCCATCTTCACATTGAGTAGTCTGAGGAGGAAGAGGAGGGGTTGGTTTTGCTGTCTCAGGGGTGGCAGAGGCAGATGCAGAGGAGGTATAAGGAGAGACGAGAGGCAGGCATACTTGGTATAACTTTACAGAAATATATGGTAATTTCTGACTTTTTCGTTTTTTCATGTCTCTAAAAAATGTTGATATACAGTACCAATCCTCCTTCCACCATTTGCTTTAGGTTCAGTGCCCATATTATAGAAAAGCCAATGTCATAAAAGAAGTTAGAAGCAGTCTTGAGTTACCAGACTTCAAAGTATACTACAAAACAGCATGTTATTCATGTAAGAATAGAGACATAGACTAATAGAACGAAACAGAGAGCCCAGATATAAAACCAGCTACTTACAACAAATTGATCTTTGAGAAAGCAGACAATAATATACACTGGAGAAAAGAAGCCCTCTTCAATAAGTGGTGCTGGGAACATTGGATAGCCACATGCAAAAGAATGAAACAGGACCCCTACTTCTCACCACTCACAAAAATTAATCAAAGATGGATAAAATACTTAGATCTAAGGAATGAAGCCATAAGAATTATAGAGGAAAATGTAGATAAAACTCTCCTAGATATGGCCTAGGCAAAGTATTTATGAAGAAGACCCCAATGGAAACCATGCAACAACAAAAATTAATAAACGAGATTTGATTAAACTAAAGGCTTCTGCATAGCCAAGGAAACAATCAACAGATCTAATAGACAAACTACAGAATGAGAAAAGATATTTGCAAGCTATACATCCAATAAAGAGCTAGTAACCAGAATCTACAAAGAACCAGGCAAATCAGCTAGAAAAAAACAAACAGCCTTATTAGAAAGTAGGCAAATGTCCAATAAACATGAAAACATGCTTAGCATCTCTAATCATCAGGGAAATGTCAATTAAAACCACAGTGATATATCACCTTATCCCAGTTAGAATAGTATTTATCAAAAATTCCCAAAACAATAGATGCTGGTGTGGATGTAGAGAGAAAGGAACACTTGTACACTGGGACTGCAAATTAATAAAACCTCTATGGGAAAATGGTATGGAGATTCCTCAAAGAACTAAAAGTATACCTACCATTCGATCCAGCAATTGCACTATTGACTGGCTGGGGAGGAAAGGGTCAGGGCCCCTAACCCCTGCATTGTTCAAAGGTCAACTGTAGGTCTCCATTTCTCTATTTTAACTTGTTTTTGCCATACTCAATTACAAACATAATTTTAACAAACAAAGGAAAAAAAGGCTTCACCAAAAAGACACTTGGACTCGAATGTTTATTGCAGAACAATTCACAATTGCAAAGATGTGAAATCAACTGAAGTGCCCTTCAGTTTATGAGTGGATTAATAAAATGTGGTATAAGTATACCATGGAGTACTACTCAGCTATAAAAAAGATGAATTAATACCTTTTGCAACAATCTTCAGGGAACTGGAGACCATTCTCCTAAGTGAAGTGTCTGAAGAATGGGAAAACAAACACCACATGTACTCGCTATTAAATTGGAACTAACCTATGAGCACATGTGTGCATAGAGGGAAGTTAAACTCAGTGGAAATCAACAAGGGGGGAGGATAGAAGAGGGGAGAGGCAAAAACCTACCGAACAGGTACTATGAACACTATTTGGGTGACGGGTATACCTGTAGCCACAACCCAAGCATTACAAAAGTGAGCCATGTAACCTAAAACATTTGTACCTCCTTAATATTTTGAAATTTAAAAAAAAACTATCTTGAGTGATCAGAACCCTTCTGCCAGATTGTGTAAAGTCAAGTTTGTTTTCTGACAGTGCTGCTTCAATGTCTTCTTCCTCATTGTCTGGCACCGGTCCAGAAGTACTTTCCCCAGTCAGTTGTCTTCTGTTAATTTCTCTGCTGTGGTGTCTATTAGCTCTTGAGTTTCTCCATTATCCATATCTTAAAACCCTTTACCACCCACCTTTTTTGCGATATCCACAATTTCCATGATTTGTTTGATTGGCGCTGTCATAAATCCTGTGAAGCCATGTAGTCATATAACGTTTGGACACACTGTTTTCCAGCAGGAATTTATTATTTCATCTTTGATGGTTCTTATCATTTTTTGTATTAACAGGTCATCTTGAATAGTGTAATCCTTCCAGATGTTCATCCAGATGTTCTCTCCATGGGCTTCTCTTCCATAGTGTTCCAATCCTTTCCCAAAGTACCATGTGTGATGAACCTTACAGTTCCTTAAGATACCCCATGCTAAGGGTGAATTAGAGACATGGTGTTTAGGGCAAGTAGACTACTTTAGTACCCTCAGTGTTGAACTCATGGGGTTCTGGGTGGCCAGGGACATTGTCCAATACCCAAAAAAATGTTAAAAGGCAATCCCTGTTGACCAGGTACTTCCTGACTTCAGGGACAAAGCATCCATTGAACCAGTATAGAAAAAGATTTCTCGTTTTCCAGGCCTTCTTGTACAACCAGAAAACAGGCATCCGGTGTTTATCTTTTCCTTTCAAAGTTTGGATGTTATTGGCTTTATAGGTAAAGGAAGTCCTGATCATAAACCCAACTGCATTTGCACGAAAAAATGAAGTTAGACTTTTCCTGGGTCTGTCTTAAAATCCTGGTGCATGCTTCTCTTCCTTGCTAATAAATGTGCTTTGCGGCTTCCCCCTCCACCCCCAAAATAGGGCACTTTCGTCTGTATTAAAAACCTATTCAGGCAGATACCCTTTCCTCAGTGATTTTCTTAATGGTGGCTGGGAACTCGTCTGCTGTGTCTTAGTTGGTAGAAGCCGCTTCTCCTGTTATCTTGACATTTTTTACGCCAAACCTCTTTCTAACCATTCCTGGCTGGCATTAAATTCTCTACCTTTAGATCCTTCACCTTTCTTTTGCTTTAAGTTGTTATATGACTTTGCTTTCTCTCAGATCATATAGTCATGCCTTTCTTACAACAATTATGCATCCACATAAAAGATGCATTTTCAGTACAAGATAAGGCATTCCACAAAAAGGGCAAGATTTTTATGCCTGCTGATGTAGCTGCAGCAATGGCTTCAAAAATATTCTTTTACTCTTTCATTTATCTTCAAAGGGCAAGTAGTCACAGCTGCAGACCTTAAGATCTAAGGTACATATCAAGCAATTCAGCTTTTTATTGTGATGTCATGACTTTGCTTCTTGGGAGCACTTCCTGCATCATTAGTGGCACTTCATATGGATTCAATGGTGTTAATCAGGGTTTACAGTATTGCAGTAAACACGATAAAATACATGAGAAGCGTGAGAGATTACTTTTTACTGCCATTTGCAATTTACTGGAGATGATTAGCATCACAGGGCATTTTAATCAGATATTTTCAACACTTGAATTCACTGCAACAAGAGATCCCTACAAAATTATTAAAGTAGTACAGTGCATACTACAGTTAATTTTATGCAGTTATGATTTAACGCTGCATTTTTACATTTGTTTACATTTCTCTCTACTGAATGGTGCCATGTACTGTCTGTAAGTGTGTGTATAAGTTTTGATAAATCTTTTTATAATAGATTTGTAATATATTTTTTGGTAGTAAATGATAAAAATAAACTAGTGCCTACATATATTTGATGCATTCATGACTTAACCTTTTTCTTAATTTTTTCTGTATTTCTAGGCTACATGGTTGGTTTATAAGTTTTTTCAAATTGTCACAAATCTCAAAAAATTTTCTAATATGTTTATTGAAAAAAATACAAGTATATGTGGACCCACACGGTTCAAACCTATGCTGTTCAAGGGTCAACTGTATTGTATTAAAGGTTTATATTCTCAGAGAGAATATTTTTGATATTTGATTCCTGTGAGTGTTAGTGATTATTTTCAAATTCTATTTTGACCTCTAGAGGATGTTAAACGCCTAAATGAAAAACTTAAAGAAAGCAATGCAACAAAGGGTGAACTTCAGTTAAAATTGGATGAACTTCAAGCTTCTGATGTTTCTGTTAAGGCAAGTGACAAGTAATTCCTAATTTATAAAGTAAAATTTTTTGCTTAAAACTCACCTAAGTTAAATTTTAAATATAGGCAAGTTGTGTATAAAATAATTAAAAGCTGTGTTTTGTTTTGTTTTTAATGTCAGGGAATTAAGCATCAGGACTTTTTATTGAACTATTTTGCTTATTTGGAATTTAAGTGTTGTCGTAGTTCTTATTTGATTTTTTCATTAGCTAAGAAACCCTGCAAATATTAATATTTATTTCTGTTTTGAAATAAAATTCTGCTTTTGTCCCTTAGCTACAAAAAAGTCTTTTCAACAACCGTCTTTAATTGTCAGTGTCGTTTTCTTGGATTTCTTTAGTTTCGAGAAAAGCGCTTAGAGCAAGAAAAGGAATTGCTGCATAGTCAGAATACATGGCTGAATACAGAGTTGAAAACCAAAACTGATGAACTTCTAGCTCTTGGAAGAGAAAAAGGAAATGAGATTCTAGAGCTTAAATGTAATCTTGAAAACAAAAAAGAGGAGGTAAATTAGTCAAATTGTGTCTTTCTTTTTGCTGGGTGTAACCTGTATTTGAGTATCAGCTTATTAAATATATATTCAATGGTGTATCTAATTAGTTGCATTGTAAGATTAGAGGTCAAATGTGGAGGACATAACTTATTAACATTTGGCCTAGGAAATCAACCATTTTCATTTAAATAAACAATTTAAGATACTCTTTGTTGAATCTTGATACTCTCTACTGTCTTATGATGTATCTTTCCTAAGATTTTGTGAGCTAAATTCAAACATGTCATTCTATGAACTATTATTTTCCATTTTCTTAAATATGCATATTTTTAAATTGCTTTTTCAGGTGGGGGGATTATTTTGCTTTTCCTTGACAGCATAAACCTCATATCAAAGTAATTTCAGTTAGTATGACATCCTACCCTTCATCCCTACCATGCTTTCTGTTTCTAGGTGACTAGACTAGAAGAACAGATGAATGGCTTAAAAACATCAAATGAACATCTTCAAAAGCATGTGGAGGATCTGTTGACCAAATTAAAAGAGGTATAGACAACCAATTCAAAATGTTTCTTTTATAAAAATATTAAAGCATGTAAGAAGCTGTTATTTTACAAAATGATGTTATCTTTTAATCTGTCTTTTGCACCAGCAAACAGGAATTCTGTATTGTATATCCTGGCTAAAACAGTAATAGCAATTAAATGCTATATCTAATATACTGTCTAAAAAATGAGCATGGGTAATTTTAATATCATTTATTCTATTTTTAAGTTAAAAATATCGATAATATTTTATCCCTAAAGTAATTCATTTTTGTCATGAAAACTGATTTTAGTTTTAATGTTGTAGTTTTTATCTCTTAGTTTATAAAAATAGATTTTTTTAATCTCAGCAATTAAAAAGCATTCTAAATTTAGTTCAAGCTAGACTGCTATGATTGGGTTATTTTTTTCAGGCCAAGGAACAACAGGCCAGTATGGAAGAGAAATTCCACAATGAATTAAATGCTCACATAAAACTCTCTAACCTATACAAGGTAAATAACCCACCATACAGGTTGGTATTTTAATGTTACTCTATTGACTATTAGGTAACTTTTTTAAGATTAACTTTTAGAGTGCTGCTGATGACTCAGAGGCAAAGAGCAATGAACTAACCCGGGCAGTGGATGAACTACATAAACTTTTGAAAGAAGCTGGAGAAGGTGAGTGTTTTTAATTATGGGAAAATTATTTTTGGTTTTAGATGGAAAGTACTTTTTTCTTTACCTTTGTATATATTGTTGGATTTTGAAGTTAGACTTAACTTTATCAGGGACAAGATTTGGCACAGAAGAAAGATCTTTGAATTATGAAATTCAGAGTTATATTTTAAGCAAATAGCATATTTGAAAATATAGATAGCAGTTTTTCTGTTTTTGATCTAATAACTTTGTATAATTTCCTGATTTCTAATAAGAAAATGTTCTTCCTTTTTTGAAACATTTACTCTGATAGTACGTTTGGGTACTCCTTTGCTCTATAAATAAGACTCCCTTTTTAAGTTACCAATAGTATATTATAAAATCTTTTATTAATATTTCCTTAAATTCTTGCCTTTTTAAATGTAATATTTAGTCTTTTCCAATAATTTCAGACAAAAGATCAAAATTTGAAACAAAGGTTATACCTAGAACCACTTGAGATTTTATCATTTGAGTTTCTTATTTTCTCTATAGATAAGAGATACCAACAGGAGAAATAGACTCACTAGGCTAGAACATTTCAAGAAGTATAAGTAGAGCAAGAACTTTTAGTAGATAACTGTCAAGTGCAGCCTCTGTAGAATTTAACCCTTTGCACTCACTTGTTTTTTTCTCAATTCCTTTATTCTACTTGGGATTTAATTTTTTAAATACCCCAGATTTTACAAAGCATGGCAGTAGAATAAAAAACTGGAGTTTCTTTTCATACAAACTTATTTATTTGGATTTTTTTATATTTCAAATTATTGATACATTCAAAGATTAATTTTAATCTCTATAATTTTTCATAGTGTGATATTTTTTGAAACATTCACCCATATGAAGACCTGGTTTACATTCACATGTTTCACAAATACAAATCGTCTCTCTTCTTCCTCCTTTGATTTTTCTGTTAGAACAAACGGCACAATCTTTGTGTTTTTTGTTATGCTAAGGTGTGATTATATGGAGCTTTCCATCTAAACGTTGCTCTAAGTTAGTGGATAATAATCTACCCCTGGAAGTTAGTGTACCATCTCTGCATTTACATTTTACTTGTCCTTTCATGCTAATGAAAACAAGAAAAGTTGCTGGAAAAATAGACAAAAATCCTCCTTCCCCCCGCAGTGAAACTACGTGTCGAGTGTGGCTCGACATACGAGCTGCTACTGATGCTCACCGTGTCGAGTCACATTCGACATCCGAGTGCAAAAGGTTAATGTTGTCTGCAGAAGAGAGAAATGACTGTTCTGGAAGATTTTAATGATATGTTTGGTTATTCTGTCTTTTAAAATGTTTTTAGCCAACAAAGCAATACAAGATCATCTTTTAGAAGTGGAGGAATCTAAAGATCAAATGGAAAAAGAAATGCTTGATAAAATAGGGAAATTGGAGAAGGAATTAGAGAATGCAAATGACCTGCTTTCTGCTACAAAACGTAAAGGTATGGCTAATAGATGCTTATTAATGGCTTGAAACACTAGAACTTCCCTACTTAAAAGTCATTTAATTTCACTCATAGAATTTCCTTGTTTTTGTGTGATGTAGGAAATTCCATCAAGTTGTATTATTGAAATTTATTTTTAAAGTTAATACTCTGTACCTTTATTGAGTCATCAGATATAAGTGCCTCTTGATCACACATAATTGTGTGATTTATAAATGCCCAGGTTATTTCATAATTTTTAGAATTGGGTTATGTTACGTGATTTGTATGTCATATTTTTTAAATCTTCATAGGAATATGTAACGTACAGTACATGCCACTTATATTTATTTTAGTTATCTTGAAAAATTATTAGTGCCTTTTAGTTGAAATGTTATCGAAATATACTAGATTTGTATGTGTTGGCACAGGAGCCATATTATCTGAAGAAGAGCTTGCGGCCATGTCTCCTACTGCAGCAGCTGTAGCTAAGATAGTGAAACCTGGCATGAAATTAACTGAGGTAAGAGCAGTATTAAATCTTGTAAAATCTTCAACAAAGGTGTTCAGATCTTTCTGAAATTCTCCCCCAAAATTCTTCTTAACATCATCTTATAATTCATGGATCATCCTAGGAAAGACTTTCTTTAGTTCCTAGTTCTACATTAATATATAAGTTAACATTTCCATTTTGTATAAGTGCTAAAGAATGTTTATTATAAAACTAGACCACATGCTTCCGTTATTATGGTTAGATTTGACATGGCCCTTCTTCTGCTTTCAGCTGTATAATGCTTATGTGGAAACTCAGGATCAGTTGCTTTTGGAGAAACTAGAGAACAAAAGAATTAATAAGTATCTAGATGAAATAGTGAAAGAAGTTGAAGCCAAAGCACCGATTTTGAAACGCCAGCGTGAGGAGTATGAACGTGCACAGAAAGCGGTGGCAAGTTTATCTGTTAAGCTTGAACAAGCTATGAAGGTTGGTTCCATTCCTGAATTACAGTTGTGGGAAGCATACAAATGAGAAATCATTTACTAGGTAGTGTTTTCTTAAGGTGTTTGAATCAGAAAAATCTAAATAGGATTTTTAGTAATACGGCAGTTATACATTTTGAAACTTCTCATCACATTATTAAACACCTCTGATTACAAAATGTTCTACCTTTATTTAGCTAAAATTATGAGAGGCTTTTATGTTTTTTAAAGGCATTTGGTATATTTTCCTTAGGATTCTCTAGTAGAGAATAAATAGCCAAATCTCCTCAGACCACTCTTTAAATTAAAATAATCTCTCTTTATAATAGAACTCCTCTAAATTTAGCATAATCACTGTTTGTCAGACAGTTGTGACATCCTGCCTAGAAATGATAATATTGAAAGAAAAAGAAAATATTGTTTGACCATAGGTAAGAACTCCTTTTTTATACCATTTCACAAGTTGGCATAACTTTTATACATTATTTTGTTACTGTTCCTTTGCATATTAAAAGTGTCAAGGAAATTCATAAGTATCCTTTATGTCTGAAGACTACTTTTTAATTGATAATGATAAAAAAAAAGAATGTTTATATCTATTTTGCTTTTAGGTTACAACTATTAATATTACTGAGGGAAATCTTCAAGATTATTGAATCAGTTTTATTGAGGAAATTCAGCTAAATGAATTTATATCTACCATTCTAAGCTGATAAATTTCTTTTTCTCTCTCTTTTTTTTTTTTTTTGGTGGAGAAGAATATAAATAAATTGTAGCCCTAATTCTGAATTAAATCCCTGCTGCTATTAAAGTTTAGAAGTCAGCTTAAATTCAGATACTATATTATAGCCAATGATGTTTTTGTTTTTAATCAGATGAAGTCTACCAGTCTTTCCCTGACTAGAAATAATTAACTTTTTTTGACACCCACATTCCTACCCCAACAGTGTAGATTGCAAAGAGATCCCTTCAGTCCAATTAGATCTTCTTGAGCTTCTGTCTGTTGAAAGTGAGGAATTTGCCTGGAGCTTCTTTTTGTCTGAAGAGGGGGAATTGAGGGGTGGAGGGGCTTAGTAGATTAACAGCTGTTTACTATGGAAAAATCCTGTTTGTTCCTTCTTCATGAATGTATAATAATAGTAGTACAAACATTTTTAAATACTTCATAGCTGCTAAAGAATTTGAAGATAATTTTTTTCCTTTTCATAGCTAAATTTTTCTGTCCATAACATATCATGTATCTTCCAGGATAGATTCAATAATGCTCATTTGCAAGGTTCTAATAGTTTTATGACCAAATTGCTTCCTCCTTTGTCATCTTAACTAATCGTATTTTGAACACAGTAGATTTTATCACTGTGATCTTTCATGAACATTTACCTACTTCATTTTTCATTTATCTGTTCCTTTTGAAATTTTTTTATGTACCTTTAGATCAGTGTACTCAGAAATACTTGAAACACCAGAATAAATATAAATTATCTTTAATTTAAATAGTATTTAAAATATTACTATGTGAAAATAACACATTAGGAATCAAAATTTGCATGAATTTGAGATAAAACATAAGATTTCAATGCTGTAAGGTTTCTGTGACTGCAGCAATCTCCTAAAAACTGTCCCTAACCCCCAATGATAATTTTGATGGAAAACTGCAAAACTTCATATCATGTATCTTTTTTAAAAAAACAGCTTTGTGCATCGGCTGCTGCTGCTTTAGAATTACTTACTGATGCATTTTTTTTAAATATATCAAGTACTTTTTTCATTTTACCCAATATATTTTACCCAATATATTTTACTTTTGACATTTATCTCCAGATGCCAAGTCTAATAATGATCATCACTGCAATGTAGTCTGATGTTTTTGTCTTCGTAACAAACCTTTTGAGAGCATTTCTGTGATACCATTTGGTAACAAACTAAGAATATGATGTGGCTGTCAGATTGTAGTTGACAGTAAATTTGGTGGGAGGATGGCAAATTCCCCATCATTTTCATACAGTGACAAGCATAGTAATGAATAGTATTTGAGATATTAAGAAATAATGTCACATTTATACAGAATTTCTCCCTTTTTTAGAAACTGTTAAGTAGAATTTTTTAGTTTATAAATTGATTACTATGGTATTTGTACGCTGTATATTTTTATTATTTGTATACCTGTTTCAATTGTATAATTCACTTGAATTTACATTTTAAAGGAGATTCAGCGATTACAGGAGGACACTGATAAAGCCAACAAACATTCATCTGTACTGGAGAGAGATAATCAAAGAATGGAAATTCAAATAAAAGATCTTTCACAACAGGTTAGAATTTCTTTCTTCTTCTGTTTTTTAAACTGGCTGCCTAATAATGTTCGAATCTGAAGGTATCAAAGATAGAACTACCACATAGGTAATTGTAATCAATTAGAAGTACTGCTCTACTAGGGTTGTAGCCTAGGCATTGTTTTATCATAGCTCCTCTCTTTTTTTCAAGTGTTTTATAAATCTTTAAATTATAGGTACTAGATGTAATAAGTGGACAGACAATTCAAAGGGAATAACGTTTTCTCCAACTTTCACCCCCGTCCCCGAAGAATGTAACCATTGTTAACAAACTGTTTTGTGTTCTTTCATATCTTTATATGTATAAACATATATGAGTGTATATGAACAAATGTAAGAGTTGTTTGATTTTACTGAAATACAATCATATGCATTACTCTGCTAATTGGTTTTTTCTTAATTAGCAACTCAATAAATGTAGATCTGTCTCATTCATAAATTTTACCTTAATTTTTGTGTGTGTGCTTTTTGTTTAAAAATCAATTCAATTCTCTCTCTACCCTACCTATAATATATACATGCTTTTTTGTTTAAAAATCTATTTATTTCTCTCTCTACCATACATACAAGACATACATAATCACATACACAAAATATCTCTATGTGGGTGCTATTTGATCATTGTTTTACAAAAATGGGGCCACATTTCAAGAATTTTAATTTGCTACTTTTTAATAAATAAAAGCCTTCATTACATACTTAAAAATAATTTTACTCTGTTAAAATTTTCTTTGATTATTTAGGTTTCAATCTATAAAGTGCTAACACTTGATTATTTGTTCTTTAAGATAAGTTAGTATAAATCGAATTTTCATAAATAATGTTTTCATTTGTAAATTTCTGTTTTCTTCTAAACATTTCCAGAATTAAAATTAACAGTATATTATAACATATTAAAACTTCATTTTTAGATTAGAGTGCTTTTGATGGAACTTGAAGAAGCAAGGGGTAACCATGTAATTCGTGATGAAGAAGTAAGCTCTGCTGATATAAGTAGTTCATCTGAAGTAATATCACAGCATCTAGTATCTTACAGAAATATTGAAGAGCTTCAACAACAAAATCAGCGTCTTTTAGTGGCTCTTAGGGAACTTGGGGAAACCAGAGAAAGAGAAGAACAAGAAACAACTTCATCCAAGTAAGCAATTGTCTACCTTAGTTGGGTCAGCAAACATTTATTGAGATCTTTTGATCTTTTATGTGCCCCTAACTGCTAGATACTATGGATATAGTGATTAGAGAGGGGAGCATTGAGTAACAATACCAAAAAAAAATAAATTCTACTCTTAGGGACCTCAGTTTTGAGTGAGGCAGACAAAACAGATAATAATAGGTAACGAAATAATTAAGTAGATAATTTTTGTTTATTGTGATTAGTGCTATAACAGATAAAAGCCTATCTATAGGAGCATAGAGGTGGAGGACCTAGGCTAGATTTTGGGGGAACACACTAGGCTTTATGGAGAACACGTGCAGGAATTACTCAAAGAGTTTTTTCAAAAAACGTGTATGCTAGAAGGAAAAGAATGGCTATGAAAGCAAGAAGATGACTAAAGTTTGGACTGAGTTGAATTAATTTTTGCAGCAAATTTTTCAGATTGCATTGGTGAGTATGAGTACATGAGTCCTCTATGGTAGGGATTTAAAAAGTGGGGTGACTCATGCCTGTAATCCTGGTACTCTGGGGAGCTGAGATGGGAAGATGGCTTGAGCTCAGGAGTTGAGACCAGCCCAAACAAGAGTGAGATCCTGTCTCTACCAAAAATAGAAAAAGCCAGGTGTGGTGGTGCACGCCTATAGTCCCAGCTACCCAGGAGGCTGAGGCAGGAGGATCTCTTTGGCCCAGGAGTTTGAGGTTGCAGTGAGCTATGATGACATCACTGCACTCTACCTTGGGCAACAGAGCAAGATACTGTCTCAAAAAAAAAAAAAAAATCAGTAGGAAAAAGAGGACAGGAGAGACAAAAATAGTGTGCTTGGTGGTAGATGAAGATGCTTAGGGAATTTATGTTAGAAATTATAGTTGCCTAACTCTTCAACGCAGCCTGGTGACATAGACTGATTTCTTTTCCTTATAGAATCACTGAGCTTCAGCTCAAACTTGAGAGCTCCCTCACTGAACTGGAGCAACTCCGTGAGTCACGACAGCATCAGATGCAGCTTGTTGATTCCATAGTTCGTCAGCGTGATATGTACCGCATTTTATTGTCACAAACAACAGGAGTAGTCATTCCCTTACAAGGTAGTCTTTTGTATGTTATCTTAAAGAATATTTTGGAAATGAATATTAGAGAATAAATTTTGCATAAGCAGTAGCTATTCTGATGATAGTAGCTTCAAATTTGACTACAATAAAAGATTGATTATAACATGTCTTCAACTCTGAAACACACGATTATTTTATATATTACTAAGAAGGAAGAAATGCTTACTATTATTATAAAATGTGCATCTTAGAATGAATAACATATTTTGGTTATGTGTTAACATTTAATCTGTAAATATTAAATTATCTCTAACCAGCAAAAATAATACATTATTTAGTAGATTTCTTATTTTAAAACTCCTGTAATCTTATGATTTCATTTAAATAAATGTAGCTTATTGATTTTGTCATGATGTATTTGCAAAGAAATATTAGATTAAAACTGATTAATAAAAGCCAACAAAGCATTTTATAAGTCTTTTTACTTTTCTGAAGCTTCAAGCTTAGATGATGTTTCTCTAGTGTCAACTCCAAAACGGTCAAGTACATCACAGACTGCTTCCACACCTACTCCAGTACCTGTTATTGAATCAACAGAGGCCATAGAAGCTAAGGCTGCCCTTAAACAGGTAAAGATCACACCTTTATCTTTGTGTTGGGTTTTTAGAGAACAATGTTATCTTTTAATAATTTCCAATATTTAGTTGCAGGAAATTTTCGAGAACTATAAAAAAGAAAAAGTAGATAACGAAAAAATGCAAAACGAGCAGCTTGAGAAACTTCAGGAGCAAGTTACAGATTTGCGGTCACAAAATACCAAAATTTCTACCCAGCTGGATTTTGCTTCTAAACGGTAAATTTTCTTTTGCTCAAAATTTAATAAAGTCTAAGTGTTATACTTCAATAGATCAATCAAATGCAAGAGTTAATTTGCAATAGTGTTTCTTTTTTGTGGACCATGTTCCAGAACGAAAACCTATGGTAGTTCATTTTAGTATTGATTAATGATTTTCCTGGACAGTGCTAAGAGATTATATTATTTATAAGTTGAAATTCATGTGAGGAATGTTGCTAGTTTCCCTTCTTGAGATCAAAGGATTTGTTGTTTCTGTAGGACTTAATTCTTTTGTAAATGTTCCAAAGTATAGAGAAATGGGAACACATTTATTCTGCTATTTCTATTCTAGGTAGAAGAGAAGCGAGTCTTAGGTAATCTTAGGAAAATTCACTTTCTTGATCACTTCCAAAGAAATAGTAAATTGCATTTCATGGTAAATTTCGTGGTTATTAGATTCATTGAATGCTTGTTAATTTAGCATGTTAGGACAAAATTTGTTTTTATATATAGTATGTGATAAATATATGTTTTTATGAGCATATAGCAGGTAGTTACTACTGTACATCTAGTAATACAATATCCTCTTTTGTTCTAAGTTGACACCTTTAGGCAGCCATTTTCTAACCTTTCAAGCACACAAGAAAATAAGATGAAGGATTATAGTGGAAAAAAGGATTGGAAAAAAATCCATCACTACCCATGCATAAATATCTTAAGTTGCTATACCGCATTGTGGTGGGTGTCTGGTGTATCAGCATTATATTGGTGTTATTTTAAATGTGATTAAATTTTCCTGAATGCGTAAAATGAAAAAGTTATTCAGCATAAAATACTGTACTTACTTAGAACTTGAATTTAACCATCAAGTTGGAATTTGGAAAAAAGATTGAAGGTTTTCCATTATTGTATGAGCCACTTTTTCATATTATTAATCATGTAAAATTAAGCTGTTGTGAAATTCTTCAGGGATCTAAACTAGGATATAGTATTTCAGTTGCTTATAGAATTTTTTTTCCTATTTAAGGTATGAAATGCTACAAGATAATGTTGAAGGATATCGTCGAGAAATAACATCGTTACATGAAAGAAATCAAAAACTCACTGCAACGACTCAAAAGCAGGAACAGATCATCAATACAATGACTCAAGATTTGAGAGGAGCAAATGAAAAGCTAGCTGTCGCAGAAGTGAGACCAATCTCTCTCATCTGATTTGCATTATAAATTGCATTTAACATTTCTTTAGTTTTTACTTTGATTTAACTCATTGATGTGATTTATATATTTAAGAGGTTTGTGGATTACAAGTCCTTATTACATAGTTCATTTTTATCTTGCTCACACTCCATTGTGAGAAGTGGGCAGCAGCATTTTTTCAAACTGATGGAGTAAATTTTATGACTGATAATTCATACGAATCATCATGTGTAAATACTTTGAAATGAAATATTAATTTTCAGAGCATTCTCCCAGGTCCCCCGAGGCTCAGAGTATACTCTTTATGAGGGAAAAGAAAAAGTTTAAATATATCAGTCATCACTTTCTAACAGGTACTTAGAAACAAATATGGATTTTAAAAATATGCATAATTTATTAGTGTGCAGGTATGACTATAGTGTAGTGATATAGTTTTTTTCTTTTACTCTGGCATTTTAGATTTTTCTTGCTATTTCTAAAGTCTGGTTTGTTAGAGCAAAGAAATAATAAGTACTTGTAGTAATTGTAAGATTTTTTTCTTTGATCTATTCCCAGTAATTTTTGCTTCATATTTTAATATATGAAACTTAATGTTATATTTCCTCATATAATGGGAGGTATAGTTTCTAAAGAGCATTAAAAATATGTAGTAGTGAATCATTTTAATTTTATAATTGAATTACTACATTTGACACAATATTTTCCAACATGTTTTCTTTCACTTGTATTTGTCTTAAGGTAAGAGCAGAAAATTTGAAAAAGGAAAAGGAAATGCTTAAATTGTCAGAAGTCCGTCTTTCTCAGCAAAGAGAGTCTTTGTTAGCTGAACAAAGGGGGCAAAACTTGCTGCTAACTAATCTGCAAACAATTCAGGTAACCAAATAAAAAGCACTTATAGAAAAAAGTTTATAGAAGTTAAGTTGAAATATAAATTATCTTTGTATCCTCTCAAGTCTTCTTTATTAGAAAATTTATCTGTCACTTTTTCATCCTTTATGATAATCATTGAATTTTGGGGTTCATTAAGGCATTTCAATATTTTAAATAGAACATTGAAAGAACTGATTGAAACAATGCAAATTGGCAGGTTTGCTACTCAGGTCTGTATTTATAGAGTCTTATGCAACTTAACTATTCACAAGATTAATTCTTTGGTTTTATTTTTCTCTAAAACTTTGGGAAATCTGAATGACTTGTAACATGTTTCTCTTATATATATATATTAGATATTTTAATATGAAAAATGTCAAAATGCTTTCTTGGTAAATATTCTATAATAGATCTTAACTTCTTCATATAGTAATGTGTTGTAATCCTCTAATTCTCTATAGCTTTTAATTCTCTTTGTATTTTAAATTTTAATTTTTTTACTTTTTCTTAAACATAACCAAAAATTTTTTCTTCACCTCAGGGAATATTAGAGCGCTCTGAAACAGAAACCAAACAAAGGCTTAGTAGCCAGATAGAAAAATTAGAACATGAGATCTCTCATCTAAAGAAGAAGTTGGAAAACGAGGTGGAACAAAGGCATACACTTACTAGAAATCTGGATGTGAGTGTATCAGTGTTCTGAATTTCTATAGTTTGTTTATATTTAGTAATTAATCTGATGTGTGGACATACTGCCATCCAAGTTGAAACATGGTATTGAAAATCTTTTCTTAACAGAGTTTTTCTTGCCTCATTATATGCCTAATTATTTTTGACTGGGTGCCATACATTGTGAGTTTTAGCCTCTTGAATGTTGGATTTTTTTAAATCTTCTTGAGGTTTGTTCTGGGATGCAGTAAAATTAATTGAAAATGGTTTGATTCTTTTGAGTCTTTTTATGATGTGTTAAGTGGGCCCACAGCAGTGCTCAACCTAGGATTAATTCCCCACTACTGAGGCAAGACCTTGAATACTAATCCCAGTGTCCAGTTAAATTCAATTTTTTCAGTCTGACTGCTGGGAACAGACATTCTTCCTCACTTTGAGTGCCAGGCACTCTTCACTCCAATCCCTTTGAATGATTCTTTCCTCTGTCTGGAGTAGTCTTCTCACATGCATGCACCGAGCACTACTTTGCTGAGTGCTTGAGGGGACCATCTACAGATCTCCAGGGTACTCAGTCTGTGAAACTCTCTTCTCTCTGATAGTCTGTCTTATGAATTTGAGCTACTTTAGTCTTCCTGAATTCTCAAACCTGTCTTTCCGATTCAGGGAATCTCCTGGTGTCTGCCTCATTTCCCCTGCCCTGTGTGATAGCCTGGGAACTTTGAAGTCAGAAAACTAAGGCATTTGTAGGGTTCACCTCTTATTTACCATCTCAAGGATCTTAGATGTTTCATGTGTTTTGTCTACTTTCTTTTGATTGTTTGAGGTGGGAAACTAAATCTATTTTCTGTTACTCTATCTTGGTTAGAGTTCTAAGGCTCTGTAGAAAGAAAACTTGAACCTCTAGTTACTTAGGACCTAAAGATACTGTTTATAGAATTTATATATTTTTTCTTACAGGTTCAACTTTTGGATACAAAAAGACAACTAGATACTGAGGCAAATCTTCATCTTAGCACAAAGGAACTATTAAAAAATGCTCAAAAGGAAATTACTACCTTGAAACAGCACCTCAGTAATATGGAAGTCCAACTTGCTTCTCAGTCTTCACAGAGAACTGGTAAAGGTAAATAAATAAGACTGATACAATATTAAGTAAAGAAGGACTTTGTTAGGTTTATAATATATTTTGTAAATATTCTTTTTGGATGTTGAAAAAGGAAAAAAAACATCTTCACTCTTCATATAGTAAACAAAACATCTTCACTCTTCATATAGTAAAGCTCAATTTTGGGCTTAAATTAATTTGCTGTCTTGAAGATTCAAAATAGTTATGTAGGGCACCTGGCCAAGGTATGTTCTGATTTTTTCAATTCTACATGGTTTTATTTCCTAATGGAAGGGAAAAAATAGTGTTTACAGATGGTCCCTGACTTACGATTGTTCAACTTCAGATTTTTCAACTTTATCATGGTGCAAAAGCTATATGCATTCGGTAGAAACTGTACTTTAGTACAGTAGTCAATAAAGTGCATAAGATATTGAGCACTTTATTATAAAATAGACTAGATATTAGATGAGTTTGCCCAACTGTAAGCTAATATAAGTGTTCTGAGCACATTCAAGGCAGCCTGGGTTAGGCTATGATATTCAGTAGGTTAGGTGTATTAAATGTGTTCTCAGCTTAAGACATTGTCAACTTCTAATGGATTTATCAGGACATCACCCCATCATAAGTCAAGGAGCATCTCCGTGTATGTGTGTGTGTGTGTGTGTGTATATATATATATATATATATATATATATGTAAACAGATTTATAGGTATCTGATACATGTATAAAGGAGACACATATATGTATAATTATCCAATAGTCCTTGTTGATACCATGTGCATTCTTGTCAACTTAAAATTTTTGCCTTTTTAATGCATTTTAGATAACAAAAATTGGGCTAAATATCTTTTTCAGTTTTTGTGATAGCTGATATCAAATATTTGAACTTTTTGAAGAAGTAATATTACAAAATACATGTTAGTTTTATTTTGGTATCCAGCATGGATTGAAATATGAAATATAGTTTCCAGATAGTTAAGTACTTCTATATGTGAGCCTTAATTGTAATTTCACAAACTCTTTGATAACAGAGGTATTGCATCTTTTAGGTCAGCCTACCGACAAAGAAGATGTGGATGATCTTCTGAGTCAGCTAAGGCAAACAGAAGAGCAGGTGAATGACTTGAAAGAGAGACTCAAAACAAGTACTAGTAATGTAGAACAGTATCGAGCGATGGTTACTAGTTTAGAAGAATCCCTGAACAAGGAAAAACAGGTATGTACAATTCTGAAGTCAATTTGAACACATTATTAACCTTTTTGTAAATTATGAGCCTGCTATGTATAAGGCACTGCGGTATGAATTGGATTGACATTATCACCATTAACTTCTGAGAGTGCTTGAGTCTAATAAGCCAGATAAATGAAAAACACAAAATTCACACAGCAAGGAAAGACGTAATTGCTATAGGAAAGGTACAGTTGAGGAAAATGAGAGGCAGGGAAAGTTATTTGTCCTCTGGAAATGCATGACTTCACACAAGAGACAATACTTGTGGCAGAGCCTTGAATGAAGGTATCCTCTAGATAATCAAGTGTAGTAGAAAGATATTCCATGTAGTAGGAATCCTCAGCCAAGATACAAAGGAATCAGATGATAACAATTTGTAATTTGGCTATTGTACTGAGTTTGTGAAGTGAAATAGTGAAGGACACAATTACAAAAGCCATTGAGAACCAAATGTGAAAGGTTTTTAATGCAATGTTAAATTATATTCTGTAGGTTTATTAAGAGTCATTTGGGTTTTTTTTAACATTCATAACCAGAATTTTTTATCTTTTTATTTTTTTTGCTTAGAAAATTAATTTGATAGATTGGAGGATTCATTTGGAGGGTATAGCAGTAATCTAGGACCACAGTTTTAAAAGCTCCTTTTGGGTTGGCATCAGTGGAAAGCAGTGAAAACGTGTGAGGAACATACCTTTCAGTGGTAGAGTAGGCACATTTGCCAAGAAGATCTGAGGATTGAGGGAAAAGTAAGGGAATGGAAATGTCCCTTCAAAAGAGAAAAATGGCCAATAGTCAAGTTGAGAGGTAAATGATGCTTGTAGATTTGCATGGTATTTTGCTTGTTTTTGTATCTTCTCGTCACATTTCATGGATTCTTTATCTAATATAAGGAAACATTAATTTTAGTACTTAACCAAATTTAGATTTGTAGAAAGTAATTGTATAATTTTAAATGTGTAATTTTTGTATCCTACTTTTGGTAATATGGCGAAGGTGACAGAAGAAGTGCGTAAGAATATTGAAGTTCGTTTAAAAGAGTCAGCTGAGTTTCAGACACAGTTGGAAAAGAAGTTGATGGAAGTAGAGAAGGAAAAACAAGAACTTCAGGATGATAAGCGAAAAGCCATAGAGAGCATGGAACAACAGGTATATTAGGTTATTAACTATATGAATCTTTTTTCTTGTAAGGATTTGAATTCTTTTATCTAGCTAATTAGTTACCATTGAGATCATTTCAACAGAATTTATTGAACATGTAGGCAACAATTTTAGCTTTGTGTTTTACCCCGTGTATCTGTATACATTTCCTTGTGAAAATGTTAGACTACAGAAGTAGGTATTAGTGCTGCTTTTAAGAAGCCTATGTCTGAGATTTGACTTTTGCAAACATTAGTTAGGGGGGGAGTGGATATAGAGTTCTATAACTGTACAGTAGATTACATCAGGTTATAAGTCTTTTAAATTTAGCAGCAGTCCTTTGGGCTAATTGGATTTTTAAAAATCTGTCCGTCAATGCAGTAACGCAACACAGTATTTTCTAAGTAAGTTTGTTGTTAACTCTGGTTTAATCATCTTCCTCCTTAGTTATCTGAGTTGAAGAAAACACTTTCCAGTGTTCAGAATGAAGTACAAGAAGCTCTTCAGAGAGCAAGCACAGCTCTAAGTAATGAACAGCAAGCCAGACGTGACTGTCAGGAACAGGTAAGTGTTGTGTTCATAGCCAGTTATTAAGAAATCAGCTTTGAGCCTAGAGAATGGTTCTTGGAGTATATTTATATGTTTGGAGGACAAGTAGATCTTACAAAAATGCAAGATTATTTCCACTCTTCTGGAACCTGGATTAAGATAAGTTGAAGAGTATACATGAAGGCTAAAAGTAAATCATACAGTATTCGTTAACAGAGCAATCTTGACAAATGGGAAAAAATGGAAAAACAGGATTAGGAGGCTAAAACATATACATGCTTTCATTTGTGAATATTCTTTTACTATTTTGGTCTTTCAGTAGATACTGTTATAAAATTGCATTACAGACAAAATGGTTAGAGGTATGTTCCCTCAACAAACAAGGACCTCTTGATAACATTTTTAATGCATTGCTGAGCTTGCACAGATTTCTATACACCTCTTTTTGTAGAATTATAAAAAATGTCTTGTTATTTTAAGTGTATATGTATACGTGCATATGCATGTGACAAACCTTTTTATAATTGTTTTAAGAAGTGATAAAACACAATTCAGGAGAGTAAGAGTTAGTAAAATGGTGGGATGGGAAAGGTATACATGTAAGGTTTTTGGTAATGTCCTCATTTTTAAATTAGGTGTTATATTAGAATGTGTTAAAACAGCTATTAAGCTGTTCATTGGTTACTATTCTTTATTGCTTTATGTATGTGTAATATATATACATCAATATTACTTTAAAAAAGGAATACAGGATAAAGAGACTTCATAAGTAAATTTAATAAAATTATCCTTGGCTTATTGCCAAACACCATAAACCATTGGAAATTAAAATTAAATAATTGATCTATAATTCAATATGCAATAAATGATTTTCATTTCCCTTTATTTTTAAGTTTCTGTGTGTGGTTTCATAGGCTACCTATGACAGAAATAAAAAGAAAAATAAAAAATAGAAGAAGTTTGTGTGTGTGTATATTTCACATAGCTTGGTTATTTTTAGCTTTTTATTTCATAAAGTTTATTCCAAATTGCTACCTAGTCTTCTAAGTTTCATTGTTAAAAGTTCTTTAAGTAGGTATAGCATTAACTTTTAATTTTCCTGTTTGCTACATTTGGATTGTTGCCACTTTATTTTTAAAAATGTACTGTGTGTCTTTTCCAAAAGTACTGATTAGCATTATGGATTTTTAATCTTTGGTGTCAATGTGGGAATAATTTCTTACAGGCTAAAATAGCTGTGGAAGCTCAGAATAAGTATGAGAGAGAATTGATGCTACATGCTGCTGATGTCGAAGCTCTACAAGCCGCCAAGGAACAGGTTTCAAAAATGGCATCGATCCGTCAGCATTTGGAAGAAACAACCCAGAAAGCAGAATCACAGTTGTTGGAATGTAAAGCATCTTGGGAGGAAAGAGAGAGAATGTTAAAGGTACTATTGTACATCATAACAGAATGTTCCAGGGAATTCAAAGAGGTTTTTTTAAAATGTATATTGGAAAGATCTGCTATTATGATAGACCTCTTGGCTTATAGGATGAAGTTTCTAAGTGTGTTTCACGCTGTGAAGATCTAGAGAAACAAAACAGATTACTTCATGATCAGATTGAAAAACTAAGTGACAAAGTAGTTACTTCTATAAAAGAAGGTGTACAAGGTCCATTGAATGTATCACTCAGTGAAGAAGGAAAATCTCAAGAACAAATTTTAGAAATTCTCAGGTAAATCAAATATGTTTTTCATTCTTCATTTCTGTGTCCTAATAACTATAAAATGAAATTATAAATGCATATATTAGAGAGTGGAATTATACACAGTTTTGATACAAAGCTCATTCTGTCTTTTATTGGCCAACAAACCCACAACCACCAAATTGGTCACTTTTAACAGGTAGAAATAGTAAATAAATGACTTTAAAGTTGATTCTGATAGATAAGAATATGAGCAGCCTTCTCTTGAAAAACTATAGTCTTTCAGGTTATTTTAAAGATAGACATTTTTACAGCATCTCTCATTATTATTAACGAAAACGTGAAAATAGTTAATAAAGTGAGTAATTTTTGTCATCTTAAAAATTACCTAAGTTTTAAAATGTTGTCTTTTTTAATTCAAATAAGATTTTAACATATATATTCTTGTAGATTTATACGACGAGAAAAAGAAATTGCTGAAACTAGGTTTGAGGTGGCTCAAGTTGAAAGTCTACGTTATCGACAGAGGGTTGAACTTTTAGAAAGAGAATTACAAGAACTGCAGGATAGTCTCAATGCTGAAAGGGAGAAAGTCCAGGTATGTATACTAAACTTTAAGAAAACAATTGTTAAGTCAAAAGAAAACAATTCATTTATATTTCTACCAGTTAACATAGCATAAAATTTACTTTGAAATAAACATTCTTCCTAGATTTGTAAACTCATTAAATGACTGGTAAGTGCAATATAATATAGTGGTTCAGTGTGAAGGCTCTGTAATCAAATGCCTGGTTTCAAATTCTAGCTTCATACCATCATCCGTGTGGTCTTGGGTACATTGTTTAACTTCACTGCTCTTTGTTTCCTTACCTGTAACATCTGGATAATAGTAATGAGGAACTAGAACCATGTCTGCTTTGTAGTATGCACTTAATAAATTCCAGCTGTCTCAGTTTATTCTAGTTGTCATTGTATATACATCTGGGTAGTCATTCTAGAATAAAATGGTAGAATAAAACTGCTACCAAATATATCTTTCTCAACAAAGGAACAGAATGTAGTCAAAGCTAACAAAGAAAAGAAAAGAAAATGCTGTAATGAAATGGATTTTTATAACACAATACCAGCACCCAAAAACTTATTGTTGAGTTACCTCATTCTGAGGAGATACAGTAATATACCCCCACATCTAAAAGGAAGGAAATTAAGACCTTAAAATATTTACCTTCTTTTAACTAATAAGTAGTCAAAATGACAGCAAGGGAGAAACTATTGAACAGGGGAAAGTAATAATTAGATTTATGGGATTGTGTTTTCAGCAGAAGTTAAAAAGTTTCAGAATTTCATCCTGTTGAGAAAATAATCCAAATTCAAATTTATCACCATGGAAATTAAATAAACAGACCCTCCCATTCAATAGAGTTAACACTTGAAGGAAAGAAGGGCAGAATTAGGGTTTCTAACAAAGATGGCATAATGTCTCAGTCTTTTCTGTTCCCTTTGTCGTTCCCTTGGGCTATAGAAAAACAAATACTAAAAAGTACCCAGCCCATGAACAAGTTCAGAGGGGAAAACCAACTCTTAGATATAAGAGGAAAAGAATCAAGAAGTAATACACATTATTTCAAAAATAATAGCTGTCCAAGTATGAGCGGTATAGCATGGCAACCACAAAATATGCCATAGCTTTCAAAGTAGTGGGGAAAGAAAGTAATATCACATACAAAAGATGGATAATTATATCCAATGAGAAGAAAAAAAGTTCTTCACAGTTCAATAGATATTTTGTAAAATTGCTCAGTACAAAGTGACAAAACAACAGAAGAAAAGAGGGATTTCTGAACACAAGGGAAAAAACTGAGGATTAAAATAACATTATTTTAGAACTATTACTAAATTCAGTGCAGTAAGAAAAAATAATACAGAAAGATAGAGGTTTGGATTAATGTTTTTACCTAATGTTATACTGGCTATTGGTGTGATTTGTAGTGTCTTTTTACTTTTGTCTTTATAATTCCTTGCATTTGTTTAAACTCTTTGCAATTAGAGTGCATCACAGAAAATTATAAACTTTCAAAAATTTCAGTTTTAAAAGTTGAAATTTAAATTCTATTTTGCTGTAGAGAGGATTAGATCTAGTAGGAAAGGTAGCCTTTCAACTGTTATTAAATGTTGGTGTCTATATGTATATGAAATGTTTAGGTAACTGCAAAAACAATGGCTCAGCATGAAGAACTGATGAAGAAAACTGAAACAATGAATGTAGTTATGGAAACTAATAAGATGCTAAGAGAAGAAAAGGAGAGACTAGAACAGGATCTACAGCAGATGCAAGCAAAGGTTTGTAGATTAGTAATCAAAAATGGAGGCATGTGATTATTTTTAATAATATTATAAGTGAATTTTTGCATTACTTGTTAAAAAATATATTGGTACTGTTTTCAGGTGAGAAAACTGGAGTTAGATATTTTACCCTTACAAGAAGCAAATGCTGAGCTGAGTGAGAAAAGTGGTATGTTACAGGCAGAGAAGAAGTTACTAGAAGAGGATGTCAAACGTTGGAAAGCACGTAACCAGGTAAATGCAGTTATACCTATTCCTAGACATGAAAACATGTCTAGGAATACATGTTGATTTTAACTAGTAGGGTAAAATGTAAGGGGATAAAAATATTTGAAGAACTAATGAAAATTTTTTTTGTTTTTATCAGTGAAAGTCTTAATATGTTACGTGTATATATGCAACAGATGTTAAACTTAAAACTCAATTTAAAAAAAATTTTTGGTTACATTTAATTTTTAAAAAGCAGTTACTTTATTTCCCATAATTCCAAAATTTTAGTCTTTATCTCTGAGATACTTTTATACATGAAAATAGGAATTTATATAGTTTATTGAAGCACTTTAAGAAGATTTGTTTCTGGTACCTTTTTAGAGATGAAACCATATAGCATAGTATGGTTAGAAACTCCAGCTCTGTATTCAGCCATAAGGTTGAAAATCTGCCTTGCACATACTAGTTATGTAATTATAGGTTAAGAACCTTTCACAGGAAATAATACCACTCTTCATGTGATGGAAATTAAATAAACATAAAGAAGTTCACCCAGCACTTTGCACCCAGAAAATGATCATGTGTGTTTAAATTGTAATACATTGTGCACATTTTTTTCATTGTAAACATCACTTTAATGAAATTAGGTACTTAAAAGCTTTTAAGATTCTTTGTTTCCCTTTATTTGGTCTCATTATAAATAATCTGAAATGTATATTCACAAATATGAAAAAATAATGAGCAGTTAAAAACATTTGATTTTTTTCCCCCTCTTCCATTCTGGCTAAACAAACTAAATCTTAGTTTGCTCTTGGTATCTTGTAGTTCTGTGCTTGATCACTTTACATGCAGGATACTTAATATAAACATAATTAGATATTCTACTATTTTATTATAGCACATTTGTTTCATAAAGCCTAAAAAACCAAATATGCATTTTTGATCTTCTAGCATCTAGTAAATCAACAGAAAGACCCAGATACAGAAGAATATCGGAAGCTCCTTTCTGAAAAGGAAGTCCATACTAAGCGTATTCAACAGTTGACGGAAGAAATTGGAAGACTAAAAGCTGAAATTGCAAGGTATATGGAAAGAAGCCTTAAATCATATATAATGCATGAAATCTTGAAGTTTATTTCAACTCTTTATATGACTCCCCAAGTGCTTCCTAGTTTCAGAAAGAATGGAAAGCATTAGAGCCCTTTTATGTGGCTTTCCTCTATTTTTCTGTGGAGTCTAGCAAATGATGATATAATATTATGCCTTCAAATATAAAATATATATAAGAATATTATTCTCATTATAGAGAATTATTTCTCTATATTTTATTTTTTTTAAAGTTAATTAGTATAATTCTAAAGCTAGTTAATTTGCTAAGCGACTGTCAAAATAACTTTAACAAGTAGGTTTTTCTTTTCTTTTTTTGGTTACCTTATATTCATGAAACTCTACGAGTAGTTTTTAAATTAAATATTTCCTTAAATGAACTTATACTGAAGTTTTGCCCATTTAAAGATAAATATTAAAATTAATGTTTCTGGTTTACATTTTTCAAATTTTAGTATAATTTGTCAATGTCATGTCTCCTACTTATATGGATGCTTTACAGCTTATAACTTTTTGTCATATATACTCCGTTCATAACAGTAGTCTTGTATATTGATTAGGAGAGATATTATTTTTTAGCTTTACAGATGAGGAAGCTAAGATTCAAAAAGTTTGACTACCTAAGGTTCCAGAGTTGGTTGTTAAACCCATGCTCTTAATTTAGGTCATCTGATTTCAAGTTCAGTTCATAATACAGTACAAGGGTTGGCACACTATAGCCTGCAGGCCAAATCTTGCCCAAGACTTGTGTTTGTACAGCCTATAAGCTAAGAATGATTTTTACATTTTTAAAGCACTGTATAAAAAAAAGAACATGTGACGAAGACTTTATGTGGCTTGCAAAGCCTAACATATTTACTCTGTGTGGTCCATTACAGAAAAAGAGTCACAACAGTGAAAAGAATGTAGGTGTGCTATCAAGCAAGTCTGAATTAAAATCTAGATACCATCTAATTATGCATGTTACTTGACTACTAGCAGCTCAGTTTCTCTCACCTCTGAAATAGGCACATATGTCTATGTAATAAGGTCTTTCCAAAGGACCATAAATTTATAAGTTAAGTAATTATCTTGAAGTGTGTGTGGAGTTTTTTTAGGATTTTTAAATAAACTTATTGAAGTAGCATAATATAAACTTATATTGAAGTATTTGAAAATTTGAAAAAAGTCTCAATACTTAGTCTTTGTTCTTTCCTCCATTTTTTAAAGATCAAATGCATCTTTGACCAACAACCAGAACTTAATTCAGAGTCTGAAGGAAGATTTAAATAAAGTAAGAACTGAAAAGGAAACCATTCAGAAGGACTTAGATGCCAAAATAATTGATATCCAAGAAAAAGTCAAAACTATTACTCAAGTCAAGAAAATTGGACGGAGATACAAGACTCAATATGAAGAACTTAAGGCACAACAAGATAAGGTATTTTGAAAAGCTTTTCTTTAAAAAAAAAAAAATTAGGATGAATCTTAAACCTTATTTTTTTGTAATCTTGAATATTACTGGATTTTAGATTCTAAATTCTTGTGTAAGTGTATATGATATCTTTATTTGGTTTAAGAGTGGTGTTTTTAGTATGTCTGAAGTACATTATAAACTCAAAAAGAAAGTTTGATAAATGGTAGATATTTTAGTTCAGTTTTCACATTTCAAATACTATCCCTCTTTAAAGCTACATCCTCATAATTCATTGCTAATTAAAATAGTGTATAGCAAAAAAAAATTGTGTATATCAAAAAAATGATGACTAATCAGGCTTTGTATAGTTTCAAGGAAGTTGTTTGTTAAATGCCTATCAAAAAGAATCCAAGGCCGGGCGCTGTGGCTCACGCCTGTAATCCTAGCTCTTGGGAGGCCGAGGCGGGCGGATTGCTCAAGGTCAGGAGTTCAAAACCAGCCTGAG